TCATTAGATAACAATTTTTGTATTGAAATACTTATTACACAATATTTGCTTCTCTCTAGAAGTAATCACGGGACAGATACTAGTCTATGTTGTTTCAGTAATAGAAAAACTACAAATATTTGTTTCTTTTCAGAATACTTCAAAGAAGTCACAAATTAAACAGAGATATAAATATGTTACATCAGTGGCTCACATCGATAATCCCCTAGCTACACAGGAGGCTGAGATCTGAGAATCTCAGTTCAAAGCTAGCCTGGGCAGAAGTCTGTGGTACTCATGTCCAGTTAGCCAGCAAAAAGCTGAAAGTTGAGGTGTAACTTAAGAGGCAAGTGGGTGCATTAAGAACATTCTCAAGGAGCTGGGAATGTGGCTTAGTGGTAGAGTGCTTGCTTAGCATACACAAAGCCCAAGGTTCGATTCCTCAGTACCACATAAACAGAAGAAAAAAAAAAGAAGCCGAAAGTAGCGTGCTGTAGCTCAAGTGGTTAGAATGTTAACCTTGAGTAAGAGAAGCTCAAGGACAGTGCCCCAGCCCTGAGTTCAAGACCCAGTACTAGAAAATAAAAATGTTACAACAAAGTAAGTCTTCTGTTTATAGCTTATTTCCATAAAGACTGTGAATACGTGTACAGAAATTCTGGAAATGAGACTCACATCTATAGAATTCTGCTGTGTCTGCTTGGGGTTTCTTAAGTGGGGACCCAAGTCCAAGGGTGCTGACTGCGACTCTGAATTTTCTGGACAAAACTGAGATCCAAAGAGGAATTGGGAATCACTGAGAGCACAGCAATCTGTCTGATTATTATTCCGGTTAGATGACTTAAAGGTCCTGAAATTAAGAACAATATATTAAGTGATTAAATACCCTTAAAAATAAAATACAGGGGCTGGGAAGGTGGCTCAGTGGTAGAGTGCTTGCCTTGCATGCATGAGGCCTAGGTTCGATTCCTTAGCACCACATAAGCAGAAAAAGCCAGGAGTGGTGTTGTGGCTCAAGTGGTAGAGCACTAGCCTTGAGCTGAAGAGCTGAGGGACAGCACCCAAGCCGAGTTCAGGCCTCACAACAGACAAAAATAAATAAATAAAACAAAGATGGGAGGGAGGGAATGAGAGAGAAAGAGGGAACAGCTGACACTGAGCAAAAGGAAAGAAATGTACAAATCACCAGATTTGGAAGAAATAGTTTTATTGTTAAAGTTTGTAGAGTTTATGAGCTTTGTAGATCAAGATAATGACAATTTGCATTGTGAAGGTTAATAAGTGTTTGTGACTTTAAGCTAAGTATCACTATGCTACAATACTGTGAAATTTATATTACCTAATTTCAATAAAGAAAAAATTAAAAATAAAAAAATAAAAATTTATAACTATTCATTTCAAAATATCCTGGGCAGACTGCCACTTTATTCTGACCTCCAAATCCCCTGAATATTTCTAATATACCTATAAATAAATTCGAGGAAATTCTGAACATCATAATTTTTTTTTTTTTGGGGGGGTCTGGTCGTGGGACCTGAACTCTGGGCCTGGGTGCTGTCCCTCAGCTCTTCAGCTCAAGGCTAGTGCTCTACCACTTGAGCCACAGCGCCACTTCCAGCTTTTTTCTTTTTGCTTATGTGGTGCTGAGGAATCGAACCCAGGGCCTCAGGCAAAATGCAAGGCAAGTGCTCTACCACTGAGCCACCTTCCCAGCCCCTGAACATCATAATTTTTATTTTAACAACTCAGGAATAACCAAATGGAAATTCAAATAGAGAGGACTAATACACAATTAGTCCTTGTTACAATAGTCTGAGCTGTAACAGAGTTTCAGAAATCAAATTTCAGTTGAGTGCCTGTGGCTCTTGCCTGTAATCCTAGCTACTCAGGAGGCTGAGATCTGAAGATCATTGTTCAAAGCCAGCCTGGTCAGGAAAGTCCAAGAGACTCTTATCTCCAATTAACCATCAGAAAACCGGAAGTGGCACTGTGGCTCAAATAGTAGAGCCCTAGCTTTTAGCTGAAGAGCTCAGTGACAGAGCCCACTCCCAGAGTTCAAGCCCCACAACAACAACAACAACAACAAATAGAGAATATAAGCAGAAAACATACCCTGAGCCTGAGGGAATACTCATCATCTCTTTTATATTCCACACATTAAAATTCATGTTATGGTTTTCTCTATTAAAAAGAACAAAGATATATTAAGAAGGTTAATATAGCCAGGTTCTGATGACTCATGCTTGTAATCCTAGCTATGGAGGAAGCTGAGATCTAAGAATTGTGGTTCAAAGCTTGTTTTGGGACTTGAACTCAGGACCTGGGCACTATTAGCTTTTTCACTCCTGGTTAGTGCTCTAACACTTGAGCCACAGCTCTACTTTTGGCCTTGTGGTGTGTGTGTGTGTGATTTATTGGAGATAAGAGTCACACAGACTTTCCTGCTCCAGGCTGGTTTCAAACTGCTGTCCTCAGATCTCAACCTCTTGAGTAGCTAGAATCACAGGTATAAATTACAGTGAATACCTGGCTAGAATTTGAACTCAGGACTCTTTTAACTTTTCCCAGCAAATGCTCTACCACTTGAATGACCCCCTCCCTGCCTTCCGCCTCAACCTTTATCATTCACACTGAAGAACAAAGCTGATTCTGCAGCCCTGCAATCCCCTGGGAATCTGAAGGGGGGCGGGGGGAGGGGGAAAAAAACTTCTCTCCAGCCTAGCTTCTGTTAAGCCTAGCTACTCAGGGAGCTGAGAACCAGAGGATCACGGTTCGAAGTCAGCTTGGGCAGGAAAGTCTGTGAGACTATCTCGAACGAGCCACCAAAAAGCCCGAAGTGGAGCTGTGGGTTCAGGTGGTTGAGCACCAGCCTTGAGCTTTGGAAAAAGTTCAAAGCCCCAGGGCTGGCACAAAAAAACAAACATGCCTAGCATCCTAGCTACTTGGGAGGCTGAGATCTGAGGATCGTGGTTCAAAGCCAGCCAGGGCAGGAAAGTCCGTGAGAACTCATTATCTCCAAGGAACCCCCAGAAACCGGAAGTGACGTTGTGGCTCTAGCGGTAGCGCGCTCTCGCCTTGAGCTGAAGAGCTGAGGGGCAGCGCCCAGGCCCAGAGTTCAAGCCCCACGACCGACAAGAAACAAACCCCACTTTCCTCCAAAGGTAAGACCGCAAACCAAGGCCGGAGCGGACACCCCCAGCAGATCACCTCAGGGGGACCGGGGACCTCTCTCAGGCACAGAGGCCCGAGGCCTGGGAAAGGGCGGGCGGGGGCTCTGGGAATATTCCATGCCCATCTTCAGGTTCTTTTTCCTCAAGCTCCTCCCCTTCCTCCCCCCCCCCCACCCGCAACTCCTGGGGTTCCACCTATTCTTCAACCAAACCCTTGGGGTTCCTCACGAGCTCCGGTAGTAGCCGGAGCGGAGCGCGAGGGTGGAAGCCGCCTCACAGAGCCCCCGGTCTGCGCCAATGCCAGGAGTCTCGGTTTCCTCAGAGGCTCTGTCTGAGCATGCGCGGAGGGGAGGGGGGTGAGGGGGTGGGGCCGCCAAGCTGCATTCTGAATGGCCAATGAGGAGTGAACGTCATTCCCAGGCCCCGCCTCCCGCGGCCACATGTGACTAACGGTCTTAACGGTCACCTCCTCCTGCACCTTCCCGCCATGCGGCTCCCTGGTCACAACCCCGTACTGTACCTCAGGGGATCAGTGCTCCGGCCCCAACTGCCCAGCCTTGACACCCCTCACTTGCCACCCGACCTATAGTCCACGGCCTATGCGGAAAGCAGGGAAGCCCTGAATGGCGAGGTGCCATTTATCTGATGAACCGGGTGGTGAAGGACCAGAACGTGTGGCAGAGGATCTGGTGGAAGAAAGCAGAGAAGAGCAGTTGGGGTCATGGAGGGAGGGGTGTGGGGAGTGGGGTGGGGGGGAGGAACATAGGAGATTTTTCCATTGAATGGGGGGAAAAACTAATACGAAGACTGAGCAGGTGATAGAAACGATGTCGAGAAATCTCAAATTATGCTGGATGAAAAAGGACCCAGAATTAATACTCAAGAAAGAAAGGGGCTGAAGGGACTGTGGTAAAGACGGTGAGATTCGAATCTATTGTACACGAGTGGAAAAGTAGCGATTGAATCCCTACTCTGTATAACTAATAGGAGCTAAAAAAAAAAATTAAAGAATACGTTCTTTATGGTTCCAATATATAAAATTCTCGAGAATGACAGGGTATCTATAGCTACGAACAAGAATCATGGAAACCTGGGCAAGGTGGCAGCTGCCTGGGATCTTGCCTGTGGGATGGGGGTTGGGGGTGGACTAAGATTAGATGGATCATAATGTTGGGAAAATTAGCAAAAGCTTGTCTCAAAATGTAAAAAAGAGTTGTAAAGGGGTGAGACTATATAGCTAGGTGAACAAGTGTTTGTCTAGCAAATGCTAGAACCTTGGCCTACATCCTCAGCATCACACACACACACACACACACACACACACACACACACACACACACACACACACACCTTCTGTTCAAGCCCTTGTAACCGTCATCTGTCACAAATGGCATTCCCCATCACCTTAAATTCTTAAAAGGATTTGGCAGAGCCTTTATTCTGAGGCAGTAATTTTATCCTAAGAGCCACAAAACCTCTTTGACCCTTTCTCTTGAATCCATGGAATGCTTTCTAAATTTATATCTTTAGCCGTAGGCTGGCGTGGTTTTCAAGCACTGGCTTTGCCTTGAACACATTCTTTAATATTTCATTGGCTGTGAGTCCATCAGAGCGGTTCGTGTTTATATAAGTGCTCTCCACAGTTGATAATACCAACACACAGATTTCTCCCTTTGAGAAGAAACAGAGCAGCCAAGGACAAAAGAGCAATGGGCCAGCAGCATTGTGGAGTCACAACTTCCTTTTGTCACTAAGCAACAAGAAGTTGACCTCCTTGAAATTCTCTGTCCTCAGATGTATCCTCAAAAAGGCAAGAAGAAAGCTTGCTTTCTCTGCTCCCTTCCTGGACAAATGCAAAGTGCTTTAGTAGGCTCCTGGGTAAGAGTGAAGCACTTTATACTGAATCCTGATTGCCCATGGCTGGGGTTGTGCATAAAATCTGAGTAAGTCATGAGGGTGAAATAAAGTTTCAGCCAGGTATGGGTGGCTCACACCTGTCATCAGTTTCTCAGTTTCTCAGAAGGCTGAGATTTGAGGATTGCAGTTCAAAGCCAGCCTGGGCAAGAAAGCATGTGAAACTCTTATCTCTAATTAATCAGAAGTAGCAGTGTGTCTTAAGGGGTAGAGCACTAGCCTTGAGCAAAAAAAGAGCTCAGAGACAGTGACCAGGCTCAGAGTTTGAGCCCTAGGACTGGCAAAAAAAAGAGAAGAAAAAAGAAAAGAAAAAAGGGCTGGGAAGGTGGCTTAGTGGTAGAGTGCTTGCCTAGCATACATAAAGACCCGGGTTCAATTCCTCAGTACCACATACACAGAAAAGGCTGGAAGTAGCGCTGTGGCTCAAGTGGTAGAGCACTAGCCTTGAGCACAAAGAAGCTCAGGGACAGTGCCCAGGCCCTGAGTTCAAGCCCCAGGACTGACCCCTCCCCCCCCCCAAAAAAAAAAGTACAGCTCCTACTTGGATCTATCAGAGATACAAGGAGATCTCATTTCTGTCCTCTGCTGGTGCTTTTCTCCTAAGGTCTCTCCAGAAATTCTCTGTTGGTTAAATACTCCCTTGGGAAAGTGTGAGTTGGCCAGCTTCCCAGGGTGTCTGGTCTGACTTCAGATCAGACTTCTCTGGAATGTTCAGGCCCCTGAAATCTAGGACCCAAGACAGGGATGTGAGTTGGGCCTTACTTCTCATGCCTGCCTTGTTCTAGCACAACAGTGGTTTCTATGGGCACTACAGAGGTCAAGTGAAGAATGAAAGTGCTGGAGAATATCGCCTTGCAGCCAAGCCCAAGCCTCCAGCAGTATTTCTGAAGAGAAGTCAGGTACAAGGCAGCCCTAACGGTGGTGGGAAGGAATGGGCCAGTTCCTGTCTTTCCCAGGTCCTAAGAGTATTTTTATTTTTGGTCTGTTGTGGGTCTCGAACTCAAGGCCTAGGTGCTATTCTGCCTCTCTGGGCTCAAGGCTAGCGCTCTACCACTTGAGCCACAGCACCACTTCCAGTTTTCTGAGTGGTTTATTGGAGATAAGAGTCTTACGGCCTTTCCTGCCTGGGCTGGCTTTGAACCGTAATCCTCAGATCTCAGCATCCTGAGTAGCTAGAATGACAGGCGTGAGCCACCAGCGCCCAGCTCCCACCCCTTTCTTTTTTTCTTTTTTCTTTTTTTTTTTTTTGCCAGTCTTAGTGCTCCAACCCTGGACACTGTCCCTGAGCTCTTTTTTGCTCAAGGCTAGCACTCTACCATGTTAAGCTACACCTCCACTTCTGGTTTTCTGGTGGTTCATTGTAGATAAGAGTCTGAGGAGCCAGGCACCAGTGGCTCACGCCTGTAATCCTAGCTACTCAGGAGGCTAAGATCTGAGAATCGAGGTTCAAAGCCAGCCCAGGCAGGAAAGTCTATGAGACTCTTATCTCCAATAAGCCACGAGAAAACTGGAAGTGGTGCTGTGGCTCAAGCAGTAGAGCGCTCGCCTTGAGCTGAAGAGCGCAGGAACAGCACCCAAGCCCAGAGTTCAAGCCCCACAACCAACCAAAAACAAAAAGTCTCTCAGGGGCTTTTCCTGCCCAGGCTGAGTTTGATCACCGATGATTCTCATCCTCCTGAGTAGCTAGGACGGCAAGTGTGAGCCATCAGCACCTGGCTGTTCTAGCCCTTTTGGAGACACATTATCAAGAGAGACCGAACATCTGAGCTTCCTCTTGTCAGGAAGGGAAGTTATGCAGAAGATGGCTGGGTACCATAGCCCACGTAGGTAGTTCAGGAAGATGGGAAAGTGTATTCAGGAGAATTTGCTGATAACAAGTAGCTATGGAAGCCTTGGGAAAAGATTTGTCTTACAGTATAACAACCAAAAGATCAGTACTGCTGGGTCAAAGGAGATAAGGGGAGGCATGGCTTCTAGAAGCTAGAAAGACCTAAGTGCTGCTGGTGTACGCCTGAAATCCTAACTTAGGAGGCTGAGATTGGGGATCTTGGTTCAAAGCCAGTCCAGGGGCTGAGAATGTGACTTAGGGGTAGAGTGCTTGTCTAGCATGCATGAAGCCCTGGGTTCGATTCCTCAGTATCATATAAACAGAAAAAGCCAGAAGTGGCACTGTGGCTCAAGTGGTAAAGTGTTAGCCTTGAGCACAAAGAGGTTCAGAAACAGAACCCAGGCCCTGAATTCAAACCTCAAGACTGATTTTTTTAAAAAAAAGGTTTAATCATAGCAACTTCTCTTCCTCCTCCTCCTCCTCCTCCACCTCTTCCTCCTCCTCCATCTTCTTGTCGTGGGGCTTGAACTCTGGGCCTGGGTACTGTCCCTTAGCTCTTCAGCTCAAAGTGAGCGCTCTACCATTTGAGTCACACCTCTACTTCCAGCTTTTAGGTCGTTTGTTGACAGTCTCACCAGCCCAGGCTGGCTTTGAACTGTGATCCTCAGATTTCAGCTTCCTGAATAGCTAAGATTTCAGGCATGAGCCACATGTGCTGGGCCACCTCTCTTTTAAGAATGATAAATGAGGGCTGGGAATGTGGCTTAGTGGTAGAGTGCTAGCCTAGCATGCCTGAAGCCCTGGGTTCGATTCTTCAGTACCACATACACAGAATAAGCTGGAGGTGGCGCTGTGGCTCAAGTGGTAGAGTGCTAGCCTTGAGCAAAAGAAGCTCAGGGATAAGGCCCAGGCCCTGAGTTCAAGCCCCTGGACTAGAAAAAATAAAATAAATATATGAATGATGGGCGTTGGAGCAATCCAGGGACAGAAACAAGCTACACTCTTCCTCTTGTATATTTGTATTAGCTCTCAGTGGTATTTTTTCATCCCAGAGACCAGAACATCCCTTTCAAATATATTAAACCTAACCCCTTAGAAACAGACCAGATGCATAAGGGACAGATTTCAGCTGCTGATCAAACTGAAGAGTTGCAGAATTTACTGGTATTAGAAGCAGCTCCAAATAGCATGATCCCTGTGTCTCAGGCTCAGGTTGAATAAGTGTCAAGTCTCTTGGCTCTTTCTAATTTAAAGCTGTTTTAATTAATAGGATTACCCAGGGAAGGTACATATTTTCTCACTGAGATAAACCAAATTTCAGTGGACTGATTTCAACTATGGTGGTTTAAATCCTTTTCAAGATAGAACAACCACTTTCCTTTGGTTTGCAGGCAGATAAATAGATTTAGTCAGCCAGGCACCAATGGCTCTGCCCTGAAATCCTAGTTATTTAGGAGGCTGAGAACTGAGGATCAATCTTTGAAGTCAGCCAAGGACAGGAAATTCTCTGAGTCTTTTATCTCCAATGAACCATCAAAAAGCTGGAAGTGGCAGTGTGGCTCAAGTGGTAGAGTACCAGCCTTGAGCTGAAGAGCTAAGAGCAGCTCCTAAGCCAAACCATAGTACTAGTGTATGCTCACATATGTACACACACACACACACACACACACACACACACACACACACACACAAAGAAATATGCAAATAAATTTCTTCAGGGACAAGAATACCCAGAACTTCATGGACAAAAAGGAAATGACTGGGCTGGGAATGTGGCTTAGTGGTAGAGTGCTTGCTAGCATGCATGAAGCCCCTGGGTTCGATTCTTCAGTACCACATCCACAGAAAAAGCCAGACGTGGTGCTGTGGCTCAAGTGGTAGAGTGCTAGCCTTGAGCAAAAGAAACTTAGGAACACAATAACCAGGTCCTGAGTCCAAAGCCCCAGGACTGGCAAAAAAATAAAAAAAGGAAATGGCTGCTTCTTACTATGTTCCCACAGCTGTAAGAGAGCAAAACTCGAATCAGTGGGAGTCAGTAGATTATCCTATCATTGTAAGAATAATGAGTCTTCAGACTCAGATCTGCCTCCAAATAGAGGCATTCAAATTGAGGCCACTGTACAACTCTCTAGCTGAGAATAGAGACAGGGGAGAGACTTAGAGATCCAGTGGAACTTCATCTAGACTCCCAGGTTTTTTTTTTTCAATTGAAGTTTTCATTAAGATGATTATAGCTGGGATTTCATTAAGATGGTTGAGCCAGGATTAGAGGCTCACATCTCTAATCTTAGCTGCTTGGGAGGTGGAGATCAAGGGATTACAGTTCAAGGCCAGATCCGGCGGAAGAGTTCAAGAGACTGCATCTCTACCAGTGGCTGGGTGCTATAGCACATACCTGTTATCCCAACTACAGAGGGAGCATAATGATAGGGCCACAGTGGCTCCTGTCTGTCATCCCCAGTGACATAGGTAGCATAAATAAGAATAGGGAAACCTAAGCCAGCCTGGTCATAATGTGGGACTCGAATTTGAAAATATTCAAGGCAAAAAGGGGCTAGAGACATGGCTTTAATGGTAGAGAGGCTGTCTAGCAAACTGGTCTTCAGTGCTACCCAAAAACAAAAGAAAGCCGGGCGCTGGTGGCTCACGCCTGTAATCCTAGCTACTCAGGAGGCTGAGATCTGAGGATCGGGGTTCAAAGCCAGCCCGGGCAGGAGAGACAGTGAGACTCCTATCTCCAATAAACCACCAGAAAACCGGAAGTGGTGCTGTAGCTCAAGTGGTAGAGCGCTCGCCTTGAGCTGAAGAGCTGAGGGACAGCGCCCAGGCCCAGAGTTCAAGCCCCACGACCGACAAAAAAAAAAGAAAAAAAAAGAAAAAGATGACAGATATAGAAGCAATTTAAGAAATTAATAAGGATTGTTTGTATGCTTTGTCCAGTTTCCCTCAATAATAACATTTTGTAAACTACAGTATAATATCACAGAACATTATAAAAGTTACAAACCACCAATCTGGTTCAGCTTTCCCCAGTTTTATTTGCAAACATGTGTGTTTGGGCTGGGAAGGTGGCTCAGTGGTAGAGTGCTTGCCTTGCATACATGAGGCCCTGGGTTCAATTCCTCAACACCACATAAGCAGAAAAAACCAGAAGTGAAGTTATGGCTCAAGCGGTAGAGTGCTAGCCTTGAGTTGAGGAGCTGAGGGACAGCGCCCAGGCCCAGAGTTCAGGCCCCACAACTGACAAAAAAAAAAAAAAAAAGTGTGTTTATGAGTGTGTGTGCTAAAATCTTCAAGATGTAGGATGGGAATTTGGCTTAGCATGGTAGAGTGCTTTCTTAGCATGCATGAAGCCCTGGGTTCCATTCCTCAGTACCATATATACAGAAAAAGCTGGAGGTAGCACTGTGGTTCAAGTGGTAGAGTGCTAGCCTTGAGCAAAAGAAGCTCAGGGACAGTGTCCAGGCCCCAAGTTCAAGCCCCAGGACTTGCAAAAACAAAAAATAAAAATAGGCCAGGCACCAGTGGCTCATGCCTGTACTCCTAGCTACTCAGGAGGCTGAGATCTGAGGATCACCGTTCAGAGCCAGCCGGGGCAGGAAAGACCATGAGACTCTTATCTCCAATAAACCACTTAGAAAACCAAAAGTGGCCCTTGTGGCTCAAATGGTAGAGCAGTATCCTTGAGCTGAAGAGCTAAGGGACAGTGCCCAGGCCCTGAGTTCAAGCCCCAGGACCAACAAAATAAAAATAACAGTCAAGAAAGGGGCTGGAGGGGGGCTGGGAAGGTGGCTCAGTGGTAGAGTGCTAGCCTTGAGCTGAAGAGCTCAGGGACAGCACCCAGGCCCAGAGTTCAGGACCCATGACCAAAAAAAAAAAAAAAAAAGTGGGGGGGCTGGAAGTGCTACTCAAATGGTAAGAAGGCTGCCTATCAGATGCAAGGTTCTGAGTTCAATCCCCAGTACTACATATTACTGTAAATATTACTATGTATCTATATATTAGTAAGTATATATATACATATATACTTAAATTCCATATAAAAGAAATATGGAACCTTTGGAGGTTAGATTTTTTTGCTCAGCATAATTTCCTGGAGAGTTATTCAGGTTGTGTATCAATTTCATTCCATTATTATGTAGTAGTTTGTGATCCATATGTACCAGTTTGTTCAACCATTCACCTATTAAAGGCTCTGAACTGATTCTAGTTTTGGATCTTACAAATAAAGCTGCTATGAACATTTGTGTGCAGATTTTTTTTTTGGATGAACATAAGTTTTCATTTGTCTGGGATAAATTCCCAGAAGTATAATTGCTGGGTCATATGGTAGTTGCATGTTTAGCTTTTTAAAGAAACTGTCAAGCTGTTTTCCAACGTGTGGCTATACCATTTTCCACTTCCACCAGCAATGCATGAATGATCTAATTTCTCTCCGTTCCCACGAACATTTGAAATTATCTCCATTTTTAATTTTAGCCATTCTGATAGATGTGTTGTGATATTTCGTTGTGATTTGGATTTGCATTTGAACGAATGTTTAATGATGTTGAATATCTTATCGTGTGTCTTTGGCCATCTGTATATCCTCCTTGGTGAAATATCTTTATGTTGTTTGCTCGTCTCCTAATTAGATAGTTGCTTATTTTGCTGTTGAGATGTTAAACTTGATCATCTTCTCTTCCCACCCCCAAGTTCTCAAGACCTTGTGCATGCTAAGTCAGTGCTATATTCAGCCCTAGAATTCTTCATAGAGTATAGATCCTAGTCTTTTCTCGGATATGTGATTTGTATTTTTCTTTTTCTTTTATCTTCTGCTGCTGCTGCTGCTGCTGCTTCTTTTGTGCCAGTCCTGGGGCTTGAACTCAGGGCCTGGGTCTTGTCCCTTAGCTTTGGTATTCAAGGCTAGTGCTCTACCACTTTGAACTACAGCTCCACTTCTGGCTTTTTGGTAGTTAATTGGAGATAAGAGTCTCATGGACTTCTTTCCTGCCTAAGTTGGCTTTAAACTGTGATCCTCAGATCTTAGCCTCCTGACTAGCTAGGATTACAGGCAGCACTCAGCTTCCTAGAAATATACATGTAGTCTAGATCCTAGTCTTTTCTTGGATGTGTGGTTTGTGGTTTTCCTTTTTAAATCTTCCTCATATTTACTTTTCTTTTTTGCTAGTTATAAGGTTTGTACTCATTACTTCAGGCTTTTGCTCAGCTTATTTGCTTGGCTGGGTCTCTACCACTTTTGAGCTACACCTCCAGGCTGGTTTTGTTGTTGTTATTGCTAGTTAATTGGAGGTAGAGTCTTATTTGGAGGTAGAGTCTTACAGAATTTTCTGCCTGGGCCGATTTCAAACCACAATCCTTCTGCTTTCAGCCTCCTGAGGTAGCTAGGAGTTTTACTCTGTCAGGGAAAAATGCTTTTTGTTTTTTTGTCAATTGTGGGGCTTGAACTCTGGGCCTGGGCACTGTCCTTGAGTTCTTGAGCTCAAAGCTAGCGCTCTACCACTTGAGGCACAGGGCCACTTCCGGTTTTCTGATGGTTTATTGGAGATAAGAGTCTCTCAGGCTGGGAGCAAGTGGCTCACACCTGTAATCCTATCTACTCAATAGGCTGAGATCTGAGGATCATGGCTCAAAGCCAGCCAGGGCAAGAAAGTGAGACTCTTATCTCCAATTAACCACCAGAAAACAGGAAGTAGCACTTCCTGTGGTACGCCACTCACCTTGAGCTGCAGCTCAGGGACAGCACCCAGGCCCAGAGTTCAAGCCCCACTACCAACAACACAAAAAAAGTCTCATGGACTTTCCTGCGAGGGCTAGCTTTGAACTGCAATCCTCAGATCTCAGCCTCCTGAGTAGCTAGGATTACAGGTGTGAGCCACTGGTGCGTGGCTTGTTTTTTAAATTTTGATAAGGTCCAATTTATTTTTCTTTTATGGCCTTTGATATTGGTGTCAAGTCTAAAAATTTCTTGTTAAAAATTTTTTTCTTGTTCAGCTCTAGGCTCTGAAAATTTTTTCTAAAAGAGAATGTTATTTGTTTCACTTGATGCTTGGGAATTAAACCCATAGCCTTGTACATGATAAGCCCCATCCTCTACAACTGAGCTAAACTTACATGTTCATAAGTCTTTGGGTTTTTTTTTCTTTTTTCTTTTTTCGTCCGTCATGGGGCCTGAACTGTGGGCCTGGGCACTGTCCATCAGCATTTCAGCTCAAGATTAGCACTCTACCATTTGAGCCACAGCACCACTTCCAGCTTTTTCTGCTTATGTGGTGCTGAGGAATTGAACCCAGGGCCTTATGCATGCAAGACAAGCACTCTACCACGGAGCCACCTTCCAGGCCCCTCTTTGTTTTGTTTCTATGCTGGTAATTGGGGCTTGAACTCAGGGCCTGGGCATTGTCCCTTAGCTTTTGCACTCAGGGGTAGCGCTCTATCACTTGAGCCACAGCTCCACTTCTGACTTTTTGGTGGTTAATTAAAGATAAGTGTCTCATGGACTAGTTCTACCAGGGCTGGTTCTGCCACTAGGCTGGTGGCCCATGTCTATAACCCTAGCTATTCAGGAGGCTTAGAACTGAGGTACCTCAGTTTGAAGCCAGCCCAAGCAGAAAAGCCCATTATCCTCTAGCTCTAATAACCAGAAAAATGCCAGACTAGAGATATGGCTCAATTGGTAGGAATGATAGCTTTAGAACCTAAGGATGTGAGTTCATTTTTTGTTGTTGTTGTTTTTTGGGTCCGGTCATGGGGCCTGAACTCTGGGCCTGGGCGCTGTCCCTCAGCTCTTCAGCTCAAGGCTAGCGCTCTACCACTTGAGCCACAGTGCCACTTCTGGCTTTTTTCTTTTTGCTTATGTGGTGCTGAGGAATCGAACCCAGGGCCTCAGGCATGCAAGGCAAGCGCTCTACCACTGAGCCACCTTCCCAGCCCTCAAAATATTATTTCAGGCAAGTGAGGAAAGTGGTTTTGAACTAGAGAAAGCCCTAGACATATTGAGGAGTGGTCTTGACTCTCCTGTTTTCATGAAAGTTTCAACAGGATTTCTGGGCATATTGGATATGGAGTTTAAGAGAAGACTAAGGAAGGCTGGGCATTGTGGTATGTATTAGCAATCCCAGCATTCTGGCTGAGGCAGGAAGCCAGGTAGCTTAAAGGCATCCTGGAGTTCATAGCATGACTTTGTATCAGGAAAAAAAATTCCCAGCCAGTCACCAGTGATTCACATATATAATCCTAGCTACTCAGCAGGCTGAAATCTGAGGATCATGGCTTGAAGCCAGCCTAGGCAGGAAAGTCTGTGAGACTCTTATCTCCAAATAAATCACAGAAAAAAGCCACAATTGGTGCTGTGGCTCAAGTGGCAGAGTGTTAGCCTTGAACAAAAGGAGCTCAGAGACTGTGCCCAGCTCCTGAGTTCAAGCCTCAGGACTGGCAAAAAAAAAAAAAAAAAAAATCCAAAGAGATTGGATTGGCAGATTTAGCAGGATATAGCTGCCTACGGCCTGAACTGGGAGGGGCAATAGCTAGAATGGATTTGATGCATGATCTATTTGTTTGGAGATGACTTGTCAAACACTCTCAGGCTCAATAGCCAACTACCTAATTACCAACTCCTAACTACCCAGCTGGAGAATAGGTAGTTGGCTGTTGAGCCTGGGAGTGCCTGACAAGTCATCTCCAAACACATGGATCAATAGGTAGTTGGCTGTTGAGCCTGGGAGTTCTGCAGATAGCTTGAGCTAGAAACATAGTTTAGTTTCCAAGTTGGGCACAGCACCAGAGACTTGTGTCTCTAATCCTGGTTACTCAGGAAGCTGAGATCTGAGGATCACAATTTGAAGCCAGGACAGGGCAGGAAAGTCTGTTAGACAGTTCAGAATATGGATATGTTGTCAGAGAACAAATGTGACCAGCGGGGAGAAGAAACTGAAACCCCAAATGTAGGCAATCTAGATGATAGGGGGCTCAGAAACAGCAGGATGTTCAGATGCTTCAAGCCTGATCCTCAATCCACGGCTCCAGAAGCTTCTGTTTCAGGGCAAATCCCAGGAATAGATATCCCAAGCATTTTGAGGTATTGCTTTTTTTTTTTTTTTCAAGGTATTGGCAGTGTTGGGGTGGTGGTTCCTAAATCTTTCCTCTACAATGGACCCTTAAGCAATTTTCTGTGGGCACAGAGAAGCATGATTTGTCTTCCTTCACCTTGTTTCTTACTGTTTTCCAAGGAACCAGCCAAGCAGCATTTCTTCTCCAAGCATGACAACCGCATTTCCTTCGACAAAGTGAGTGCTAAAAAGTAGGAGAGGGAGAAATCCCTCAGCCTATGTTGAAGTTCAAGACAGAGGTGGGTGGTAGGGTAGATGAGAGAAGACCTTGGGGGGAAGGGATGGCTCTTTCAACAGGTAGACAACAGTCTATTTCTCCCTCACCATTCTCCTCTTGGGAAAAAGCCCATCCCCTAGACAAAGCTATTGGTTTCCTTTGCTAGCTTGTCTGACAGTATGTAGATATTCTGTGGTGGGCCAGGCACCCATGGGTCACACCTGTCATCGTAGCTACTCAGGAAGCTGAGATCTGAGGATCACAGTTGAAAGCCAGCTTGGGGGGAGGTAAGCCTATGAGATTCATCTCCAATTAGCTATCCTTCCCCCCAAAAAAAAGCCAGAAGTGGAGCAATGGCTTAAAGACTACAAAAAACTCAGGGACAGCTGGGCGCCGGTGGCTCACGCCTTTAATCCTAGCTACGGATCTGAGGATCTAAGTGGTTCAAAGCCAGCCCAGGCAGGAAAGTCCATGAGACTCTTATCTCCAATAAGCCACTGGAAAACCGGAAGTGGCACTGTGGCTCAAGTGGTAGAGCGCTCACCTTGAGCTGAAGAGTGCAGGGACAGCAGCCAAGCCTAAACCTCAAGCCCCATGACCCACCAAAAAACAAACAAACAAGCAAACTCAGGGACAGCACTCAGGCATAGGGTTCAAGCCTCAGGACTGGCACCTCCCCCTATTCTAACATTCCCCTCCCCCAAAAAACTGTGAGACCACCGTGTTCTCATGGATGACATCTCTGAGAAGGTAGGCCAAAGAAACCAGGGTACAGGTCAGGGAAGCCAAACATAATCTAGGCATCAGGAAGTAGATTTAGGATTAGGTGGGATCCAAGGAAGTGTCTGGTGCCAAGACTGTGGGCCAAGGGCCCGTACCGTTGAGAAGGGCCCCTACTGGCTGCTACAGGGAATCGGAAGACGGAAAGATCTGGAGCGTCTGTGGCAGCGTCATACCTTCCTGCGCTGGGCACCCAACGAGCTGGAGTTGAGCCATCAGCGACCTCTAAAATCTTCCTACCAGGTTGACTTCCCGCCAGGCCCAAAATTTGGTCTTATCCCCCAGCGCCTCGTGGACTTTATGAAAGTCCAGCCTCCCTGTGCCAACACCACCTACCAGCAAAACTTCTGCCAGTTAGCTCACAGTGACTACTGCAGCATCAACAAGGAAGACTCCCAAGAGCCAGCCACAGACACATTGCCTGACCTCCCAGACATCCGGAAACCCAAGCTACTGCAGCATTACCTTCATGCTGGGGTGTCTGAGTGTCTAAACTGGTCCAAATCATTAAAGAAGAACAGTTGATATACCAGCCTGTTCATACTTGCTAGCCTAGGGAAGGGGGCCAGAGCTGTGATTCCCTAGGCCTAGAATATCTGTGTTCATATACGTGTGTTAGGTGGGGTTGTGGGGACCTGGGCATTAAGAAAGTATGGAGGGCTGGGAATATGGCTTCGTGGTAGAGTGCTTGCCTAGCATGCATGAAGCCTTGGATTCAAGTCCTCAGTACCACATAAACAGAAAAAGCCAGAAGTGGTGGTAGACCAAAGTGGTAGAACAAAAAGAAGCTCAGGGACAGTACCCAGGCCCTGAGTTCAAGCCTCAGGACTGGCAAAAAAAAAAAAAAAAGTCTATGGATGGCATTCAGGAGGCTGACTTCCAGTAAGCCAGGTGCCAGTGGCTCACACCTGTAATTCCAGAGTGTGATTTCACATCTGTAATCTTAGCATGTAATCACAGGAGGCTAAGATCTGAGGATCATGGTTCAAAGCCAGCCCAAGCAGTAAAGTCCATGAGACTCGTATCTCTAATTAACTACCAGGTTGGAAATGAGGCTGTGGCTCAAAGTAATACAGTGCCAGCCTTGAGCACAAAAGCTCAAGGACAGTGCCCAGGTTCTGAGTTCAAGACCCCAAGCCAGCAAAACAAAACAAAAAAGTAAGGCTGAAGCCAGGCCCTGGTCATGTCTATAATGGTCCAGAGGCTGAGATCTGAGGATTGTGGTTTAAAGGTCAGCCTGGGAAGGGAAGTCTATAAGACACTTTATTTCGAAGGAATCACAAAAAAAAAAAAAAAGCCAGAAATGGTGCTGAGGTAGAGTGCTAGCATTGAGCAAAAAAATCTCAGGGACTATGCCTAAGACCTGAGTTCAAGCCCCAGGACAGGCATACACACCACACACACACACACACACACACACACACTCTATGGGACCGAGACACCAAGTCATTACAGGTGCAGAAGGTAGATCCAAGAGATTCCTTTGAGACTCTAAAGGAAAGCAGAGTTCTCTTGGTTGGTGTGAGGCCTGAACTCTGGGCCTGGGCACTATCCCTCAGCTCTTTAGCTCAAGGCTAGTGCTCTACCACTTGAGCCACAGCCACTTCCTGCTTTTTCTGCTTTTGTGGTGCTGAGGAATCGAACCCAGAGCCTCATGCATGCAAGGCAAGCACTCTACCACTGAGCCACCTTCCCAGCCCCAAGCAGGGGTTTTTGAGAGCAACATAGAGGAGTCCACATCAGATTTTAGCAGTATTTTTACTTCTACATCCAAACTCCCTGGTTCCTCACAACAGCCCCGTGAGGTAGGTAGGGCAGGAAGGTTTCAGAGATCCCCATTTATAAAGATGAGGACACTGAGACACAGAATGACTTGCCCCAAAGTCATACAAAGCATCAGTGTGGAAGGCCTCAAAGCCAGCATTCCCCTGGCCCTCTGGTAGTTTCCCACATCCTGTCTTCCATTCATCTCTGTCCCCCACTACTCTGAACACTCATTGGATCTACTAAGACCCTCGAGGCGGGTCAACAGTTGAAAAATTTTCAGGAATGGCCACTGGGGTAGGCCTCATCAACTGTATGATTAGGGTGTTGTGGGGGGTCGGGGAATAGGGTTTAAGGCCAGCTTTCCTCTCTCCCCACTTCCCAGTTGGATAGAGGGTCTAAGTAGTTTCTAGGAGAACAGCTGAGCTAGGTATGGTTCATGACTAGACGGTGGTAAAGGGAGTGTGAGTAGACTATGCTAATGACAAAAGCTCTCCAACCCCAATCACGGAAGGCTGTGTGCCTCAGTGCCTACCTCTAGTGCTTCCTGCACCCCCACACAGCCACAGAGAGCTCCCTCCGCTACAAAAGGAGTCAGACACCTGCTTCCCCTGAGCTGCTCCAATGAACCGGTCCCACCAGTCCTTCAGACTCCATCTCGCAGACATAGTGCTTCTACAGCTTGGCTGGGACCCTGGGCCACACCGCCAATCACAAACAGCCTGGACCCAGCCTGGAGGCTAGAACAGGAGCAGCGGGCTGTGGGCATAGCAGGCAGTGCCTCCCAGCGCCTTCGGGCAAGACTGAAGCTCTCTGCAGAGCCCAGAGGGCATGGCTGATTCCCTGCAGGAAGAGAGAGGGATGATTGTAAGGTGCCCCAGGCCTTTTTGCTCCCTAAAAGCCAGTGCATGATCCAATAGTTATCATTGCAGGATAGGCTAAGTGCTTTGCTCCTCATTGGCTCATGCATGCATTCATTCATTCATACTCTGATCTGTCCACTAGGTCACACATTCAGTGATCATTTATTCTCTGTGTCCTTGGCCTCTACACACACACACACACACACACACACACACACACACACACACCTATTTAAGCACTAGGGGACACCCTAAGAATTGGGCCAGAGTACACCCTGACTGTTTTATGGACAGGGAAAGTCCTGATCCTTGAAGTTACAGAAAATGGGAGGGAGGGAGAGTCCTGATCCCTAGAGATCACAGAAATTGGGGGGAGGGAGGGGGTCACCTGGTAGGTGCTACTCTTTCCTGTTTTTTTTTTGGTTTTTCTTTTGTCAGTCCTGGGGCTTGAACTCTGGGCCTGGGCACTGTCCCTGAGCCATAGTTGTTCAAGGACAGCATTCGATCACTTGAGCCACAGCGCCACTTCCAGCTTTTTCTGTGATTAATTGGAGATAAGAGTCTCACGAACTTTCCTGCCAGGGCTGGCTTCAAACCATGATCCTCAGATCTTAGCCTCCAGAGTAGCCAGGATTCCTTGAACTAAAGAGCTCAAGGATAGCGCCTAGGCCCAGAGTTCAAGCCCCATGACCAACCAAAATAAATAAAATAAAAAACAGGACATCAGAGTAGCTAGAATGACAGTGGTGAGCCACCAGCACCCAAATCTTTCCTGTCTTATGTTCCTTTCTTCTCCCTTGTCCCAGAGACTTACCAAGGCCCCCAATAGCCACGATGTGGCCCCCAAGGGAGCCAACCACAAAATCAGCTCTCTTATCCCTCATGCGTAGACTACGGGGAAGTTTGGTCCAGGATCCTGCAGGAGAGAAGATATCAAACCTAAATACACATAGACACAGACACACAATGCCCCTCCCTCCCACAGAGAATAAGACCATCCAACATAGCCACTGCTCACCATGCTCCAGATCAAACATCTCCACAGTGTTGACAAAATGTGGACGAGAGTAGAAATTGTGGGGCCCGGGCTGCTGCAGACCCCCCAAGCTGAACACATTGTCTTCAGCCATGGCACAGCCAGCGAAGGCCCGGCGGCTGGGCAGGCTTGGATGTCGGGTCCAGGTACGGGCCTCCAAATCAAAAGCTTCGAAAGCAGTCACTGGGAGCTTGCCTTGGCGGCCTCCTGGCAAAGGAAATGGAGCAGTTTGGTGGGAGCTGAGTGGGTTTGGTGAGATATTCATTTATTGGGTAACTGATCTGTCTCCCCTGAGCTTTCCATACCCAGTGGTATTGCACAGTGACCCCCACAAGACCCCTAGGCATTGGGTTTGATTTTTTTGTTGTTGGTGGTGGTCATGGGGCTTGAACTCTGGGCCTGAGCACAGTCCCTGAGCATTTCAGCTCAAGGTGAGCGCTCTACCACTTGAGCCACTGCACCACTTCTGATTTTCTGAGTGGTTTATTGGAGATCAGAGTCTCATGGACTTTCCTGCCTGGGGTGGCTTTGAACTGTGATACTCAGATCTCAGCCTCTTGAGGAGCTAGGATGACAGGCGTGAGCCACCAGCACCCGGCTGGGTTTGATTTTTCCAACCCTCGCAGGGTCGAGAGTTAGAACTTTATCGTAGGCCTGGATTATCCTCTTCCCCACATCCTTCGAAGTTTTTCCACACTCATCCTCATCCTGATCCCTACTCCAGCCAGAAGTCTCCAGGATGGAGACTTTGAAATGTCTTCCCACATCCCCTAGCCCTTACCCAGGACATAGATCTTGTTCCCATGCAGGAAGGTAGAGGCCCCGTAGCAGGGAGTGGGCATGGAGGGGAGCGAAAGCCAGCAGTCTCGGCGGGGTTCATAGACTCGTACCTGGGCCTGGGGAGCTGTGTCAGGGCCCATTCCCCCTAGAGCATACACCAAACCATCTGTGTAGAAAAGAACACATTAGGCTGTACCCCAACCTGGCTAGGGCATCCCACACTGACAAGTTTGCCCTGGTCAGGCCCCTGGGGCTGATGGGAGTGGATAGAGACCCAGGTATTTATTTGAAACCTTTCTGGAGTGGTAACTTAAAAAGAGCTGGGATCCCTCCTCTGGCCAGGGGACCCTCCAAGTGAAGAGCAGGAGGCAGCTGATCTAATTATAATCCAGCTCCGTCTCCCTGGAGACGCTATGGCAACTAAGTCTGGCATTTAAGCAGGCTGGCCTGGACCTGGTGGTCAGACCAGAGGCCACAAGGTAGAGACTTCCCTGGGGGCGGGAGAGGGGGTGGCATATGGGGGAAAGGAGAAGGAGGAGCAGCCCAGCTCAATCTCAAAATCAGACTCTGGGGATCCATTGGGAGCTGAGGTATAGGCTAGAAGAGAGGTTTGGGCTACAAGTCTTTAACCCCAATCATCCAGCTAGCACCACTACATCACAGTCTTACCTTACTCTAGAGAAGATTCTTGCCTTATTTTAGGCCTTAGTAAAGGTTAGTTCATAGTGTGTTTTCTCGGCCTTGGAATGATGGACAAGTCAGCTGGGGGCTTCCATGGCAACCATCCCCAGGTCGGCTTGGCCTCTGCCTACGTCAAAATCGTGTGTGTGTGTGTGTGTGTGTGTGTGTGTGTGTGTGTGTGTGTGTGTTGGGAGGGGGATAGTCTAAGCACTTAAGCACTTGCTGGGCTCTAAGCCAAGGCCCTGCTCCCCTCCTCCATCCTGACTATTTATAACCAGGAGAGTCATTAGGCCACACCCCCTAATGTCTCTGAGAAATGAAGAATGGGGCAAGATGGTGGCTGGAGGTGGGGGGATGGGGGACGGAGGGAAGGGGGAGGGTCTCCCATCCTTCTGGAGGCCAGCTTGGGCTATATGTTTCCCATCTCATAGCCAGAAAAGGCAGCTCAACTGCAGGCTACTGTGACACTAGAGCTAGGTAGGACTAGATTTGAAGGGGTCAGCCATATCCTGGGCATCTCTTGTCCTGTCTCGGAGAGTAAAGGACCAAGAACAGAATAGAGGATGCCTGAGTACCTAATGGATCTTTTTTTTTTTTTCATTTTAGTAGGGTCACTCACCTCTCTCCACCGTGGCCACTCCCATGGCTGCTTGAGGCAGGGTAGCCCGACGCTCCCAGCGGCCTTCATCGGCCAGGTAGGCTTCCACCGCAGCTACTGGGCTCTGGAGCTCATCCACCCCGCCCACCATGAGCACCTGCTTCCCCAGAACCACAGCGGCCGCACCAGCCCGGGCAGTGGGCAGGGGTGCCAACGCCAGCCATGTGTGTGAGGCCATGTCCAAAGTCTCGGCAGTGTCCAGAGGTAATCCAGCCCGGCCACAGCCCCCCAACACCAACAGGTGTCCATCTTGGTGGGCCACTGTACCATAGACACGGCAAGTAGGCATGGGAGGAAGCACCTGCCAAGCAAAGGCCCGGCCACCACCCGCAGCCATGTTGCTCATGGCCAGTGGCAAGCCATGCTCTCTTCTCAGGCGACGAACCTCACTAGGAGAATGTGATGAGGCCACATTTGGATTCTACTAGCGCTGCAGGGAGTGTGTAACCGTTAGTCCACGACTGTGGCTTCTTCACCTGCAGGAGAGAGGGGAAAGGGTCAGGACTAATGCTCAGTTCTTCAGGAAACAGATGAGCAACTCAGAGTGGAGGACAAGGGGAAGCCCCAAATCCCTGATGAGAAAAGACCTCCCCTCTTTGCCTAGCATACCACTGGGGAGACCCCACTGGAGTGGGAAGACAAACTCAACACGCAGGTAGATTCCTCTCTGGCTATAGGATTAGGAGGGCTTTTCTTCAACCCCTGCTCTAACAACCAGGAGCTACTGGATCAAACCCGGTCTAAGGGGGAAGTAAGGTGACTAGAGGATTCTCCATCCTAGTATCCTTCTCCCCCCCCCCATACAAGTGAAGGGACCCTTCCCCCAAGTGCTATCAAGAACTAAACTCCATGCCCGGTGCTGGTGGCGCATGCCTGTCATCCTAGCTACTCAGGAGGCTGAGATCTGAGGATCGTGGTTCAAAGCCAGACTGGGCAGGAGAAGTCTATGAGACTCTTATCTCCAAAGAACCACCAGAAAACCAGAAGTGGCACTTGAGCTGAAGCGCTCAGGGACAGTGCCCAGGCCCAGAGTTCAAGCCCCAAGACAAACAAACAAACAAAAAAAAGAACTAAACTCCTCTGGGGACCATTTCACAGGGTCATCCACACTCACCAGCAAAAGACCAAGGCCAGCGGAGCCCCCAGTGGCTCACGCCTGTAATCCTAGCTGCTCAGGAGGCTCAGATCTGAGGACCGTAGTTCAAAATCAGTTAACTACTGGGAAAAGGTCAGAAGTGGCCCTGTGGCTCAAGAGCTAGAGAGCTAGCTTTGAGCCAAAGAAGCTCAAGGAGATTGCCCTGGCTCTGAGTTCAAGCCCCAGTTCTGGCATGCATGCACATACATGCACATGCACACACACACTCACACACACACACACACACACACACACAAAATGACCAAGATCTGGGGCCTGGACCTCAGGATTCCAATCTATTTTTTTTTTTTGTCGGTCGTGGGGCCTGAACTCTGGACCTAGGCGCTGACCTCAGCTCTTCAGCTCAAGGCTAGTGTTCTACCCCTTGAGCCACAGGGCCACTTCCAGCTTTTTCTGCTTCTATGGTGCTGAGGAATCGAACCCAGGGCCTCATGCATGCAAGGCAAACCACTTCCACTAAGCCACTAACCACCTTCCCAGCCCCTCCACTCTACTCTTGACATTCAGGCTCACGGGTTTGCCCAGGCCAGCAGGTTGGATCCAGAGGGGAAACTGATTTAATGAAGGGTCCCAAGAGGGTCCAGGGCATTTTCTGTAAGACAAAAAGCAGCTGGGATTTCTGAGCACGTTAGGATCAATCAGTTTCTTCAAGTGTTGTTCCCCCCCCCCCCCAAGCCTCCCCTTTTTCAATGGAGACTCCACTACTAAGCACCCCTGGACCTGACAAAAGAGGGCCCCAAACTTGGCAGCTGGAAGAAGAGGTGGGGGCGGGGTCTGGCTAGAGTAGACTTGGGGCGCTACGCCTCACACCCCCCCAAACTCTTCCCCTGAGCGCGGGTTCCCACGGGGGACTCACTCACCCTACGGGGTGGGGGGTGGTCTCTGTTGTCACCAAGGCACTGGGTGGATGGGGAGAAAGTGGGGCGTGGGGGGCGGTCCAGCCCGTTCCACCTCCGCTGACGCCCCGGCTCCGGTTAGGGATTGAAGCTGGGATCTGGCGGGGGCTCCGCACCGGCGTGGGGCGGGGCTGCACCGGGTCCGCCCCTTGCTTCTTCCCCCTCCCCCCCTCCTCTCCCCTCCGATTCAGGGTGGGGGGGGGCGGGAGTGGGGGGGGGGAGAGGAAACCTCCTCCCGCCTTAACTCTGCACTCGCCACAGCCGGAGCAGGGCGCGCGGCCACACACGGACCTACAGGCTTCTTGGATAGACACTTGGGCCTGCAAGGATTTAGGGTGCGATCGAGGGGGGCGCGTTGGTAAGCTGTTATGGTGGGAGGGTGTCCGGGGTCGGGGAGGATCGTTCTGATCTGGAACCAAGAGGCCGGAGCACCCCTCACCCCCCCCCACCCCCGCCCCATCTCAGCTGAGCTCTGAGATCTCCAACCACGGGCTCGACGACGGCTCCCCCTGGAGGCCACTTGCGGCCTAGCCTGGGCCGCCTTGTCTGATGGGAAGCATTGAGTTAGATTGCACCAACCCTGGCAACAAAGAAGGGCACAATATTAGACTCTGTACATTCTCCTGGGGAGGGAAGAAATGGACCCTGGTGGGAGCAGGGCTTGACAGGCCCTTTTTGACAGGCCTAGATGGGGGAAATTCTTGGGTTAACTGAGCAGAGGAATGGACTAGAAAAATCAAGAGACAAGTCAGAAGTCTAGGGCTTCTGGTCACTCTGGTCTCTTACTCTAAGATCTGAGACTAGAGCTGGGAAGGTGGCTTAGTGGTAGAGTGTTTGCCTAGTATGCATGAAGCCCTGAGTTCGATTCCTCAGTATCACATACACAGAAATAGCTAGAAGTGGCACTGGGGTTCAAGTGGCAGAGTGCTAGCTTTGAGCCAAAGAAGCTCAGGGACAGTGCCTAGGCAACCTTGAGTTCAAGCCCCAGGACTGGCAAAAAGGAAAAAAGAAAAAAGATGTAGGACTGGTACTACTCTGTGTTCCAAAGTGACTGTCTGTGGTCCTGATATAAAGCCTGCCTCTAGCCAACTATGGGATCAAATAAGAACAAATTGGTGTGGAGAAGACTCACTTATTTCAGACTCAAACGCTGGTCCAGCTTACGCTTTTTGAGTATTCAGACTATAGCTGACTTTTTGTTGTTGATGGTGACTGTAGAATTTGAACTCAGGGCCTGGGTGCTGTCCCTGAGCTCTTCAGCTCAAGGCTAGCACTCTACCACTTTGAGCCACAACACCACTTCCAGTTTTCTGGTGGTTCACTGGAGATAAGAGTCTGGCTTTGAACTATGATCCTCAGATCGCAGGCTACTGAGTAGCTAGGATGACAGGCGTGAGCCACCAGCACCCAGCTTATTAGCTGACTTTCCTAGCTGGGGATCCACTTGTAGAGGAGCAGTCATTTGTCTGTGTCTTGTAGTGTCTTTGTCTGCTTACTGCTTTGTTCCTCTTTCATGTGTAGTGATTGTTTTAGTGTTGCCCAAAGCAGACATGGAGACAAAGATAAAAGTGCAGAAGTTAGTGTGGGAGGTGAAGCCAGAAAGAACCAGCAGAGGAGTAGCAAGTAGGCAGCCAATTAGGGAGGTGTCATCAAGCATGTTATCACTATGGGAAAATGGAATCAGATCCTGCAGAGGATTCTGGGAACCAGTGTAGAACTGAGCCTTACATTATTACTGCCCCCAAAGAGCAAGGGGGAACTAAGGAAAATTAAGTTTGATAACTAAACTCATTGTCAAATTCCTATCCATTGGCTGGGAAGTTGGCTTATTGGTAGAGTGCATGCCTAGCGTGCATGAAGCCCTGGGTTCCATTCCTCAGTACCACATACACAGAAAAGGCAGAATGATGCTGTGGCTCAAATGGTAGAGTGCTAGCTTAAGCACAAAGAGGCTCAGGGACAGTGTCCAGGCCCTGAGTTCAAGCCCCAGGACTGGCAAAAAACAAAGAGCAGGAGAATCCTCATGCCTGTGGCTCATGCCTGTAATCCTATCTATTAACGAGGCTGAGATCTGAGGATGGTGGTTCAAAGCCAGTTGGGGCAGAAAAGTGGGTGAGATTCTTATCTCTTGTAAATCACTAGAGTCTAAGATCTACAGTCAGCTTGTCAATTAAGGCCCAACCCTGTGTCCCTGTTTACAAAAATCTGTTCAGTTGGGCTGGGAATGTGGCTTAGTGGTAGAGTGCTTGCCTAGCATGCATGAAGCCCTGGGTTTGATTCCTCAGTACCACATACACAGAAAAAGCCAGAAGTGGCGTTTTGGCTCAAGTGGTAGAGCACTAGACTTCAGCAAAAGAAGCTCAGGACCAGAATTCAAACCCCACAACCGACAAAAAAAAAAGACTTTAGCCCATATTAGTCGCTTGCCTCTCATTTCTTACATGTGCGCGCACACACGCACACACACACACACACACAAAAACAGAAGTGGTTCTGTGACTCAGACTGCTAAAGCACTAGCCTTGAGCAAAAATATTCAGGGACAATGCCCAGGTCCTGAGTTCAAGCCTCACGACAGAGAGAGAGAGAGAGAGACAGAGAGAGAGAGACAGAGAGACACAGAGACAGAGAGAGATTCAGAAACACAGAGACACAGAGAGACAGAGAGAAGACAGATTTTGTGGTTTCTGCTAGACACCTTGGCTATGCTTGAAGGCATTTAAGGACCATCAATTCTGAGTCCTCAAGAAGCTAAAGGACAGACTGCAATGTAGCTCACAGATTAGATATATGCACAGCTAGACCCAGAGCTGGGGTTCTGTGTAGCACAGAATCTAAGGTGGAAAAGCACTTACTTAACAAGTGCAACATCATGGTAAGGCTGGGAAGGTGGCTCAGTGGTAGAGTGCTTGACTTGCATGCATGAGGCCCTGAGTTCGATTCCTCAGCACCACATAAGCAGAAAAAGCCGGAAGTGTGCTGTGGCTCAAGTGGTAGGGTGCTAGCCTTGAACTGAAGAGCTGAGGGACAGCGCCCAGACCCAGAGTTCAGGCTCTACGACGGACAAAAAAAAAAAAATCATGGGTTTGATCCCCAGTATCAAGAAAGAAAAGACAAAAAAGAAGAAGAAGAGGCAGAAGGGGAGGAAGAAGAAGAAGCTGCTAAGCTACATCAGTTAAGGCCTAGGGTATGGCCAAGTGGAACAGTCATTTGTCTTTAGGGGTGCCTGGGCCTCACTGTATAGGGAAAGAAATTGAGGACTCTGGGCTCATAGAGAAGGAAGACTCTAAATGAAGCAAGCAACCATCTTTTATTACCCATCACCAACTACTAAACACGCCACCATGGTGAGGACTAGAGTATAAGAATTGTACTCTAGGCAGTTTTCTGCTTTCTGGTTTAGGATCTGACGTTTTACTTCATACCAGGATCCCATACTGGTTTGCAACTTGTACTTGGGATCTCCTGACCTGTGGGATCTTTGGTTAAAGCTTTGGAGACCATCTAGATTTCCTTTGCTCCCCCCCCCCCATGTTAATTTTGACTATGCCATCTAATTTGGTGCTGCTCTAGTAGAAGAACCTATAACCCCTTTGCAGGCTAAAGAGCATAGGTGGAAAGATTGAGGTCCTAGACTTATAGGTCAAAAGATAGGTACCTTGGGAGGTACGCACTGGAAAGGTGGCTCAGTGGTAGAGTGTTTGCCTTGCATGCATGAGGACCTGGGTTCAATTCCTCAGCACCACATAAGCAGAAAAAGCCAGACATGATGCTGTGGCTCAAGTGGAGGTAGGACTGTGTGTCATTGAGAGGCTGAGGATGAGCCAGGATCTTACCATCACATGTGTGCACCCATGCCTGGGCAAGTGTGCAAGGCCCACTCTGGTATAACGTGGCTCACAGATTAGATATATACACAGCTGGACCCAGAGCCTGGGGTTCTGTGTAGCACAGAATCTAAGGTGTATGCTCACAGGTGCACACCAGCTTTTCATTTGGTGTGTTGTGGGACCCCTTCTAAGGAAGAGAGGAAGAGTTCTTGCCCGAAGAGGTACCTTAGCAACAAAACAAAGAGAAGATGTCTTGAAACACTTCCTGTTAGAAGAGAATCAGTCAGTCTCCATACATGTGTGATGGAGAATGGCCTGGAGTTTTCCAGGAACCAGTTTCAGCTGTCACTGTGAAATAGGGAGTTAGGGTCTGGACCCCCTCCTCCCACCCCCCCCCCACTTCCCTAACCCTCCCCCCGTATCTTGGTCATGTGTTGGATGGTAGAATGTGAAGCCCCTCCCCTTCAGGTAATAGGCGTGTCTGAATCCCTGAAGGCAGGGGTGGAATCTTGGCTGATAGGTTACTAAACCTGTCAGTCCAGTGCTTGGGACTGGGAGTTTCTTGTGATTCTGCCCACTGACCTGACCCTATTTAGGCCCATACCAGCTCAAACTCCACTACGCCAGGCCACTTGTCTCTGTATTCCTGTCCTGTCTTCTGTCTCCTGACTTTTTTCTCATCACCATAACATCCTAATTCAGCTCTCCATTCGAGAGCTGAATTTGTTTGAAATTGTTTTCTTTTTCTCCTCTCTAGCCTTCATGGCTCGGTTTCCTAACAGTGTTAAGTGTATTTGTGGGCTGCTGGTTTGCAAGACAGGAGTCCACCATGAAGCCTATTTTTCCCCCCAGTCCTAAGGCTTGAACTCAAGGCCTGGGCACTGTCCCTGAATTTCTTTTGTTCAAGGCTAGCAATCTGCCACTTTATGTGGTACTGAGGAATCGAATTCAGGGTTTCATGCATACTAGGCAAGCACTCTACCACTAAGCCACCTTCCCAGCCCCTGTCACTGGCCTTTTAATAAAGACTCCAAGATTCGACCTCTCAAAACATGGCTTCCTGTTTTTTCACCTAACAACTGCACTATCAGATTCTCCTTAGAAAGGGTGTGTTAGCGAAATGAGCTCCCCTCCCATAGTTCATTACACTCTTTCCCCTCTCCACAGCTTAGCCTGCTCCCTTCCTAGGCAACACGAGGCTCACGTAGTAAAGGCAGTCAGTAATCAGCCTCCAGCCCCCCCTTTACCTTGGGATGGCACTTCTCTGGGGCAGCTACCACCATATAAGGCAGCAAGAGCCCCTCAGAGTGACCTTCAGGTCTGGGCAGCTGCAGGACCCCTTATCTACTATCTGGGCAGCAGACATAAATCCTAGTCGGCCATGATGAAGCCTCTGGCTCACATGCCCACACCAGGATCTCCTCCTAGCCCCTTCTAAACCTCCTAGGTTATATAGATCTCCTTCTCCTAGCCCCTTCTAGCCCCTCCTAAACCTCCTAGGTTATATAGGTCACCTCAGACAATAGCCGGGCCTCCTTCTCACTTCTCCCTTGTGAGAAGGGGTCTTGCTGGACCCTCTCCCAGCAACAGACCTTCCTTTGTTCTCTGTACCTGGATGTCTGCCTGGATTCCTGGCAAAAGTCTAATTTACCCTATCAGGGTGTCAGATACCCCCCCTCTTCCCCCCCCCCCCCCCAATCCTAGCTGAGTCCTAGTTGAGTCTAACCTGAGGGTGAGTTCAGGAAACATCTGCTCAGATTCCCACACTGGACCAGATGGGCCAGAGCAACTTCCCTTCCATAACCACTCTCTCCAGGTAACCCTCCTTAGTACATGCCAGATTTGGAATCTGGGGGTGTCTGTGTGGGGGGATGGGGGGGTGGAAATGGGGTCTCGAAGGCAGGGAGAAGTCAAGGGCCAGCAGGGCGGGCCCGAATCCCGGAAGCGGAAGTCGCGCGCGCACTTCCGGTGGCAGTGGGCGGCCATGTTGGAGCGGCAGAGGCGGCGCAGCAGCGCATCCTGGGGTCCCCGCGGCGGCGCCGGTAGGTTGGAGCCGCAGGCCTGACCGCGCTGCGGAGGGGCGGTCAGTGAGGCGGCGGGGCGGAGAGTCTGGGTGGTGGCCCGCTCTTCTCGGACCCGCATTCCCCGCCGGCTGGGCCGTGCCCCCCCCCGTTCCCCGCCCACCCGGCGACCCCACCCGGGGGGGGGGCCTCCCCGGACCCGAGCCGGGCGGGCACCGCCCCGCGGCTGGCAGATCCTTACCCCCCCTCCTTCCTTCTGCCGTTGGGGAGAGAGGGGTGGGGGCCGACGGATCCGCCTTCCCTCCCCCCCCCTCCCTCCCCAATCCCGCCCCCACCCCGAACCCACCGCGCCCCTAAAATCTTACTTTTTCCTCTGTCTCCCCCCCCCCCCCCAATCTTTGGTCAACTTTCTTTGCTGGCCCCTTTCAAAGGTGTGAATCGATGGATCCGGCTGGTGTCTCCCAAAGCTTTTTTTTTTTTTCTCCCCCCCCCCCGCCTCCTTTTTTTTTGGGGGGGGGCGGGCATCAAAATGACCCCAGCCCAAGACAGCCCGGGTCAAGGAATTCCCCCGGATCACACCGGCCTGCCCCTTCCCCCACCCCCTAATTATCTCTGGCAAAGGTTTGAGGGTGGGAAGTATTATTAGGCCCCCTCCTTTTTTTCTTTTTTCTTTCTTTCTTTTTTTTTTTTTTACTTTGCCAGTCCTAGGCTGAACTTGGGGCCCAGGTACCGTCCCCTCAGTTTCTTTTCCTCAAAGCCAACATATTACCACTTCAGCCACAGTGGCACTTCCAGCCTTTTCTGTGGATGAGGTACTGAGGGATCACCCAGGGCTTCAAGCATGCAAGGCAAGCCACCATATATCACTGAGGCCACATAACCCAGGGCCCTCCTTCATTCTACAATTCACGCACTATATCCACCTCAGCCACATTGTCCCCCTCCCCTCCCCCCAAAAAAGAAAATAAATTTAAAAAACCCTGAAGTCTTGTGCAAGGATTAAGCCTGGAAAGCATCCTCTGGGGATTGAAAAATGCCTTTTGACACCTGAGGATCCAAGAATGTTTTCAAACAAAGAGCCCCAAGGGGATTTTTGTTTCCCTCAGGGGATTCTTAAGACTACAACCAGAATCCTACATCAGCTCCATTAGGGCTGTGGAAAGAAGCTATGCACACAGGGCCTCCAAACCCCAGGGATTTACCTGATTCTCAATTGATCTTTTAATGCTCTGCCTTTTCCTGGGTTGGGTGCTAGATGAGAGTTGTCATTGGTGGCTATAACTTGGTAAACAAATCTGGGTGTTTCCAAACTCTTTTATCTGGGCTGTACTGAAGTCTGTAACTCTCTAAACTCTTGCTTAGGAAAGCTTAGACCACTAATAGAGACTTGATTGACCATTTCCCTTCCAGTGGTTTATTGTCTCTTTGATATGGTTGCCTAACCCCCAGCTGTCTACATGCTCCTTATCAGTTGTTTTCGTTTCTGTCAAAAAGCTGTCTCTTCTAGCACTTGGGAGGCTGAGTTAGGCAAATCTGTAGTTCCAGGCCAGGTTGAGTTAAATAGGAGTGTACGCACTTGCGTGCGCACACACATACCCCCTCACACTCACATGTGTGCAGACTTCTGGATCCTTATCTGAGGTAGTTGGTCTCCATAACTTTAGAGCCAGGAATTGACCACTTGGGTGGTATGCCTAGGGTCTCTGAAAGGAGAACATCCCACCCAATCCTCTCCATTTAAAAACAACAAGCTGGAAAGCCAGGCATTTGTGGTTCATGCCTGTAATCCTAGCTACTCAGGAGGCTGAGATCTAAGGATCACAGTTCAAAGCCAGCCCAGGCAGGAAAAGCTGTGAAACTATCTTCAATAAACCACCAGAAAACCGGAAGTGGCGCTGTGGCTCAGGTGGTAGAGCGCTAGCCTTGAGTTGAAGAGCTCAGGGACAGTGCTCAAGCCCAGAGTTCAAGCCCCATGACCTACAAAAACAAAAAGTCTCATGGACTGTCTGGGATGGCTTTGAACTGGGATCCTCAGATCTCAGCCTCCTGAGTAGCTAGGATTACAGGCGTGAGCTTCCAGCCCCCAGCAAGCTTGAACTCTGAACCACCTTTGGAGCCTCAGATCTCAGCCTCTTGAGTATCTAAGATGGGCATCAGCCACCAGTGCCTGGCAAGATAATCTTGTCAGTTTGTGTATGTGTTTATGTCGCATGCGCATGTGTGCCAGTACTGGGGCATGAACTCAGGACCTTGAGCTCTTGGATTTTTCTGCTGAAGGCTGGAATTCTACCACTTGAAACAATGCAGTTTTTTTTTTTTTTTTTTTTTTGTCCGTCATGGGGCTTGAACTCTGGGCCTGGGCGCTGTCCCTCAGCTCTTCAGCTCAAGGCAAGCGCTCTACTACTTGAGCTACAGCGCCACTTCCTGGAATTCTACCACTTGAGCCAGACTTCCAGTTCTTACACTCAAGAATGTTAGTGATGGATTTGCCTTGCCTTAGAACTGGACTCCTGGGCTGGTAATTTGCTCAGTGGTAGAGTGCTTGCCTACCATGCATGAGGCCCTGGGTTCAATTCCTCAGCACCACATACACAGAAAAAACCAAAAGTGGCACTATGGCTCAACTGGTAGAGTGCTAGCCTTGAGCAAAAAGAAACTCAGGGACAGTGCCTATGCCCTGAGTTCAAACCTCAGGACTGGGAAAAAAAAAAAACAAAACTGGGCTCTTTTAGAACAGGGATGTTTGCCTGTGTTCCTAAGACAGAATCTAGGTTTTGGGCATCAGAAAATAGTTGCAGTAGAGCTGGGAAGATGTCTTAGTGGTAGTGTTTGCCTAGCATACATGAAGCCCTGGGTTCAGTTCCTCAGCACCACATAAACAGAAAAGGCCAGAAGTGGTGCTGTGGTTCAAGTGGTAGAGCACTAGCCTTAAGTAAAAAGAAGCTTAGGGACGATGTCCAGGCCGTGAGTTCAAGGCTCAGCATTGGCAAAAAAAAAAAAAAAAGAACAGCCAGATGCCAGTGGCTCACAGCTGTAATCCTAACTACTCAGGAGACTGAGAGCTGAGGATCAAGGTTCAAAGCCAGCCCGGGCAGGAAAGTCCTTGAGACTCTTATCTCAAATAAACCTCCAGAAAACCTGAAGTGGCGCTGTGGCTCAAGTGGTAGAGCACTCACCTTTAGCTAAAGAGCTGAGGAACAGTGCCCCAAGCCCATTGTTCAAGCTCTGCAACTGACAGAGAGAAAGAAAGACAGACAGAAAGAGAAAAGGAAAATAGTCACAGCATGGGACTTGGCAGACAGGAGTGGGAGGATTGCTTGAGCCTATGAATTAGACCTGCTTGAACAACATAGTGAAATTTTAGCTAAAACAAAATACGGGATTGAACTAGACATAATAGCATATGCCTAATATCAGAAGTGGAGATCCTGAGACAGGAGGATTATGTAGGTGGGCGCCAGTGGCTCACACCTGTAATCCTCGCTACTCAGGAGGCTGAGAAATCTGAGGATCACGGTTCAAAACCAGCCCAGGCAGGAAAGTCTGTGAGACTCTTATGTCCAATGAACCACCCGAAAACCCAAAGTGGCGCCGTGGCTCAAAGTGCTAGAGTGCTAGCCTTGAGCTGAAGAGCTCAGGGACAGTGCCCGGGTCCAGAATTCAAGCCCCATGACTCACGAAAGTTGAAGGGATCTGGCTCAGTGATGGAATATTTATCTAGCATGCCTAAGACCCAAGGTTTGATCCCTTTGGCAGTGCCAAAAAGAAATGAGTAGAACTGAATTCAAATGAGCTAGGCTTAAACCTTTCTAGAAAGCCCAGGAACAAGTTGCTTGGCTCTGGGGTGCTTGCTAAGTGTATCCAGAAGAAAATGCCAGAGATCAGAAAACTAGGGTTTTACCCCAGCACTCTATCCAGGCTGTGCCATTGGGGTGGGGGGAGGAGATTTGGCCTGTCTAGCTCCATATATTTCGGTGCCATTCTTACTGATTGTTTTCTTCTTGCCTTGGAGGTGCCAGGCGCTAGTTTGTGGATACCCAGAGAGATCTGCAGTGCCTAATGCCATGAGCGTGGTGGCGCAGCATGTGGAAGAAAAAGCTGTCCACTCCTGGTCACGCATCTCCACAGCAGGGAAGAAGGTGCTGGAGGAGGCATTGCTTGTCTTTAATCCCATGAGCCAGGATCTCTGTGCCACCGAAGCCCAACTTGTGGCCTTTCTGCAGGGCCTGCGAGATGATGGCTTCCAGCCAACCATTCTGCGCAGCGGTGATGTCTATGGCTATAGTTCGTGCACAGCCTCTCCCCCAAGCCAGACGAAACCACAAGCTTGTGCCAACTCAACTTCCACATCCCCTCCTCCAGCCAGTGCTCCCCAAACGGCCATGCCGTTATCCACAAGCCCAACCACACTATTCCCTATGTCACTGTCTGGCAGGCTGGCCAAAGAATCCACACCAGCTCTTGCCAAGCATACTACCACCAACCTGCTGCTGAGTTCCCTGAAGCAGTCAAGTGCCAGCCACACCAGTGGCAAAACCGTGGGCTTCCCTGCCCACCTTTATCCAGGTGTTTACCCTGCCATGCAGCTCTCTGTTGTCCTTGAGGCCCTGGTTCCATTCAAGACTCACCTGCCTTGCTTGGATGCTAAGCACAAGGCCCGGTCCCTGCAGCTGTCACTTGCAGACTGTCCTCTAAAGCTGCGGAAAGGTTTGGGAAAAGGTCCAGGGAACCCTGCACCCAAAGCCCCCAGAAAAAACACAACAAGCAAGGGCCTCAAATGTCTGACTCACAAAGGCCAGGGGACCGGACCCCGACAAGGCACTGGGCCCCAGAACAAGACCTCTAGAGCCACTGGGTCCCACAATAGCATGCAAGTGAAAAAGAGCTCTGCCCTAGGCACCAAGACGAAGGCAGCTGGAACTCTGATCAAAGCTGCCCAGGCTCTTGTCAGTGTAGCTCAAACACAAGCCAAGGCAGCACTGGCCAGGGGCAAAACAGCCCTGGTCAGAGGCAAGAAGGTACTGGCCAGAGGCAAAACAGCACTGGTCAGAGGCAAAACAGCACTGGCCAGGGGCAAAACAGCACTGGTCAGAGGCAAAACAGCACTGGTCAGGGGCAAAACAGCACTGGTCAGGGGCAAAACAGCACTGGTCAGGGGTAAAACAGCACTGGCCAGGGGCAAAACAGCACTGGTCAGGGGCAAAACAGCACAGGTCAAGGCCCAGAAAGCACTGCCTAAGGGAAAATCAGCACTTCCCAGAGGTAAGACAGCACTCGCCAAGAGCAAAACAGCACAGGCCAAGGCAAAAGTCGTGGTCACACAAGCCAAGGCTAAAGCAAAGGCAATAGATGCCAAAGCCAAGGTGGCTCAGACCAAACCCAGAGGCAGGCCAAAAGGATCTGTTCAGATCAGGACTGCAAGGAAGACCCAGAAAAGCCAGTCTGAGACTGTGGGACAGAAGAGGAAAAAGGCTGAGGAGGCAAAGGATCTTCTTCCCAAGAAGAGGACACGGCTTGGACTCCAATCTAAGGCTTGGCTGGGGCCTGCTACAGCCAAACTTAAGGCCCGTGCTATAAAGGTAGATAAGCAGTCCTCCGATGACGAAGTTCTGAAGTGGGCCCAGCGAATCTTCCGGGTGAACCTGTCTCCTATAATACGGCTTCAGCCATTGCTGCCATACTCAACATCCTGATTCCTTCGTAAGAATGTTTAGAAGAGCTCTGCAACAGTGAGGACTCTGAGTACCTCTCTAGGGCCCTGGTGGGCCAATCAGCCTCCTCTCAAAAACTGGAGGATTTGGGGTAGGGTGGGAAGTGGGAGGGGTGTTATGGCACAATGCACTGTGACTTGTTCTTTGAGTTGTATGTTCCCTGTTAGCTTCTATCACATTTTATACCTTTCCACCTTTTAGTCTCCCTGCTCATCGTGTGTGTGTGTGTGTGTGTGTGTGTGTGTGTGTGTGTGTGTGTGTGTGTGTGTGTGTGTGTGTGTGTGTGTGTGTGTGTGTGTAGCTGCTGGCAGGCCAGCTTGAACCTGGGGAAATTAGATGAAAGAGAGGATCTTGGTAGCTGGGGGTAGATAGTTAATTTGAGTAACGAGAGTGGGCAAGGCTTCAAGCCTCTTAGAAAAAGTAAGGCGTAGTTCAGGTGTTTAGCTACTTTTGAGTATGTGAGAGGGACCTCTTCCCCCCCCCCCCCTTTTTTTTTTTTTTTTGGTTGATTGTGGATTTGAACTCTGGGCCTGGGTGCTGTCCCTCAGTTCTTCACTCAAGGCTAGCGCTCTACTACTTGAGCCACAGTATCACTTCCAGTTTTTCTAGTGGTTAATTGGAGATAAGAGTCTCACGGACTTTCCTGCCTGGGCTGGCTTTGAACCATGATCCTCAGATCTCAGCCTCTTGAGTAGCTAGGATTATAGGTGTGCGTCACTGGTGCCTGGCTTTTTAACAAAGCTTTTTCTTTTTTTTTTTTTTTTGCCAGTTCTGTGGCTTGAACTCAGGGCCTGTCCCTAAACTTCTTTTGCTAAAGGCTAGCATTCTACCACTTGAGCCACAGTACTACTTCCAGCTTTTTCTGTGTATGTAGTACTGAGGAATCAAACCCAGGGCTTCATGCATGCTAGGCAAGCACTCTACCACTAAGCCACATTTCCAACCCCAACATTTCTAATAGGCAATAAAGGACTGGTTCTACTCTGTTCTCAGCACTGTCTCCCAAGCAGGATGTGCCAACTCTCTGAAACATACAAGCCCATGTTAAAGAGGACAAAATGTGGTCAGACCTGGGAGTAGAGAAAGTGATCAGAATGCACTCCGACTGCACCTGTGGCTCCCTCCTGTAATCCTAGCTACTCAAGAGGCTGAGATCTGATGATCATGGTTCAAAGCTATCTGGGGCAGGAAAGTCTGTGAAAAACCACCAGAAAACCAGAAGTGGTTCTCTGGCTCAAGTGATAGAGCACTAGCCTTGAGCTGAAGAGCTGAGGGACAGCGCCCAGGCTCAGAGTTCAAGCCCCTTGACCAACCAAAAAAAAAGTGGAGCTGTGGCTCAAGTGGTAGAGCATAGAGCACTAGCTTTGTGTTAAAAAAAAAAAACAAACAACTCAGGGACAGCACCCAAGTCCTGAGTTCAAGCCCCAGGGCCAGTACACACACACACACACACACACACACACACACGGACTGCTAGAGGTAAAATAAGAGCACACACACACACACACACGGACTGCTAGAGGTAAAATAAGAGCCCTTCCGGTTCTACTGTCACCTTATCCATCCAAGGAAAAATTGGCAGTTGTGCTGTTCAGAATTAACCTGAGAAGCCTGTCTGTCAAAGGTTGACGACTCAAGACTGTTTTTGGTTTGTGGAGATGATGTGGGTTGTCCTGGACAGGATGAATCCTATAGAGTTCTGAGTCTACCAGAGGCTCAAGTGCGTTACGAAATTTTGGAGTGAAAAGATAACATATATCTACTGTCTGTCTTGGGCCTTTTCCCAAGATTGCTTCGGTGAATCTTGGGACTAGCAAGGCCATAGCATTGAAAATTGTTCTCCCAGATTAATCATGGCAGCAACAAGACCTGCTGGCAGGCAGAGAACGGTAAGAATGTCAACTTGCCCATGTGTAAGAGTCTCAGATCATGGGCTGGTTACAGACTAGCCTTTAGAGCTACAGATGAGAAGGTCACAAACTGGGCCTTGCCCACTTCATTGAATCTTTCACCATGATCCAGTCCCCCAGACTGCAGGTTTGCTCTATAAGTGCTGTCCCTAATGGGTACCAGTTAGTCTTTCCCCTGATGCTAGAACTCTTGGGCCCCAGACATTCCAGTTCTGCTCCCTGAAAGCTCAATGGACCACGTCCATTCCTTGTATATGTACTAGTACTTCACCTGCAACTGCTCAGGCTGCTTCCTCCTGTCCCTCACCACAGATCAGTGATCTCATCTGTGACCACTCTTAGAAGAAGTGAGACCCTATCTCAAAAATAACCCAGAGGAGCTGGGCTCCGGAGGCTCACGCCTGTAATCCTAGCTACTCAGGAGGCTGAGATCTGAGGATCATGGTTCAAAGCCAGCCCTGGCAGAAAAGTCCGTGAGACTCTTATCTCCCATAAACCACTAGAAAACTGGAAGTGGCGCTGTGGTTCAAGTGGTAGAGTGCTGGCCTTGAGCTGAAGAGCTGAGGGACAGAGCCCAAGCCCAGAGTTCAAGCCCCACAACTGACAAAAAAAAAAGCCTAAGGGATAACAAGTCTGAGTTCAGTGGCCCTGAGTTCAAGCCCCATACTGACAAAAAGAAAATAGGCCAGGCTGGGAAGGTGGCTCAGTGGTGGTAGAGCGCTTGCCTTGCATGCATGAAGCCCTGGGTTCAGTTCCTTAGCACCATATAAGCAGGAAAAAAAGCCAGAAATGGTGCTGTGGCTCAAGTAAAGTGCTAGTGTTGAGCTGAAGGGCTGAAGGACAGTGGCCAGACCCAGAGTTCAAGCCTCACAACTGGCAAAAAAAAAAAAAAAATTAGGCACCCCAGTTGGGCACTAGTGGCAGAGATTGAGAGAACTATTGTTGGAAGCCAGTCCAGGCAAAAAATTCATGAGAACCTATCTCAACAGAAAAAGCTCATTAAGAGTTTAGGGGCAAGGGCAGAGCCTGGCTCAGATGAACTGATCTCCTGGGGTACTGCAATGTCATAAGAAGCAGGTATTAGAGGTGACAGGGCAGCCAATCTGCAGGCCCTGGAGCAGTAGACAGCAGAACTGTATGAGCACATGACTTGGCACACCCAATTCTCTGATGTGTGTGTGTGTGTTTGTGTGTGTTGTGCGATGGTCCTGGGGCTTGAACTCAGGGGGCTTGGGCACTGTCTCTGAGCTTTTGTGCTCAAGGCTAGTGCTCTACCACTTGGAGCCACAGCTCTACTTCTGGCTTTCTGGGCATTTTATTAGAGATAAAAAAAAAAAATCTCCTGGACTTTCCGGCCTGGGCTGGCTTTGAACCACAATCTTCAGATCTCTGCCTACAAAGCAGGTAAGATTATAGACATGAGCCACCCAGTTGATCTAACATTTTAACCCCAGAGGACCCCCCCCCCCAGATGACCCTGGAACCCTCCCCCTCCCCCAGACACCTATTCCAATGAAGGGACAGTCCACAGGACTGAACTGCCCATCCCCATGTTCCTTTGTAAAGCAGGGTGTGTTCCCCTTCAGGAACTCCCAGCATACTTCTGCCATCCTGCAGCTCCCGGTACTCAGCCTGGCCCCAAACAATGCCTTCCTATCTGTAGCAGCCCAGAGCAAGCTTGATCCACTGAAGACCAGCAGACTCTTCCCGCTGGAGTCCCAGGGGTTTGGGCGGGGCAGGCGCATTCCAACCCTGGGCACCAGGGCTTCCAGAGATCTGGAAGGTCCGGAGTGGATAGAACACAAGATTGGGATTCTCTTGCTGCTGATCTGCTCCAGTCCATTTTCCTGTGTGGGAACAAGGCATCTCTGCTCCCAGCCTGCTTTGCTGTAGGGTCTAGGAGAGACAGAGCTCCCTGGAACTGTGCTTCAGGCATGGGGGGGGGGTTTGGGGGGGCTTTTCCATCCTTCCTGTCTTTTGAGCTGGGTTAAAGTTCCCCCACAGTTCTGAATAGAGGAAATTACCTGCTCTATTTGCATCCTTCCACTTCCCTGAGATATTGGAGCCGGAGGATCACAGCTGTGTGTGCAGTGATTTCCTCAGGGATGACAGGGACCATGTTTGGCCCTGTATGGAAGATCACAAAGATTAGAAACCTCTCATTTACTTCTGACATGTTTCCAACTTTGTGAGCTCTGCTCCTGGGGTGGCCTAAACACATCAGATTCCTTATTTTCCCCTGGCTCTTGACTTGGGGGCCCAAATGAAGATAAGTGGGTGAAATGATCAGTGTCTGGTTTCTGGGATGAGGGCGGGAGCGGAGTGGTCTCTGTTCTGTGGAATGTTCCTGTCTCTGATCCGCTCCAGAGTTTCTTTTTTGCCTTGCTTCCCAACTTTGCTCAAACTCTCCTAACTCTGAGCTTCAGTGGAGGGATTGCTGCCCTGCTGAACAAACCCTGGGACCTTCTGAAGGCTGGGAGAGAAACCAGCCCAGGACCCCACACCATCAGGGTCAGCTTGAGATCCTAAGGGGAGGCGGTTGCGATCGAGCCCCAAACCCTTCATCTCCCTTCTTTCCTTTTTCTTCAGGATGGAGCGGGCCTCGGGGGAACGAGGGAGGGGCTGGCGATCTTATTCTGTGCCTTGGGAGCTTGGACTGGGCCTGCTTCTAAGCGGTAAGGGAAGGCAGGAGGGGGGGGGACATCTAGGATTGTGGAATGTGATGTAGTGGTATGTCGTGGGGGTAGCCACCACTAGGGAACATGGGATAGGACCATCTGATGGAAACAACTGGAGAACTGGCTGACCCACTATCTTCCTACCCAGTGTTGGCTGTCATACTGGCCCAGGCCCAGGCCTTGGATGTGCCTGGTTGTTCACGAGGAAGCTGTTACCCAGCCACGGGAGACCTGTTGGTGGGCCGTGCAGACAGACTGACTGCTTCATCTACCTGTGGCCTGCACGGCCCCCAGCCCTACTGCATTGTTAGTCACCTACAGGTACTGAGGGGGCCTGGATGGAAGGCAGCATCAGAATGGGGCTAGACCTGGTGAAGGCCTTTGATCCTAACCTTGACCCAATCCAGGATGAGAAGAAGTGCTTCTTGTGTGACTCCCGACGCCCCTTCTCTGCCCGAGATAATCCGCACAGCCATCGCATCCAGAATGTAGTTACTAGCTTTGCACCGCAGCGCCGGACAGCCTGGTGGCAATCAGAGAATGGTGAGGCTGTTGGCGTGGGTTCTGGAATGAGCAAGGCTGCGCACCTGTAGCCTCATGGCCTTGACCTCTTAACTCCTGCTCCAGGTATCTCCAAGGTCACCATCCAGCTGGACTTGGAGGCTGAGTTCCATTTCACACACCTCATTATGACCTTCAAGGTGCCTGCATGTTTGGGAGCCTAGCTAAATTACCCCCTTAGCTCCCCATTACTTACCCACCCCCGACTGATCCTCCCCACACCCCCTATTTTTTAACCCCAATCTCTCTGAGTTCATAATGTGAGTGGTACATGCCTTCCCATAAACATTCATCTCCAGATCTTTGCACACACAGTTTTTCTGCCCCAATCCTGAATCACAGCCCACCCAATAGAGGTGTCTTCCTTCCTGGGACATTGTTTAGTTTCCATGACCACCCTGACCTGTCTGTGAGAAATCTGAACATGGATCTCAATAGCCTGGTACTTTCTGATGAGCCATGTCCCCGCCCCCTCCCCTTCCCCTGCCACCTAGACTTTTCGCCCTGCTGCCATGCTGGTGGAACGTTCTGCAGACTTCGGCCGTACCTGGCATGTGTACAGATATTTTTCCTATGACTGTGGGGCTGACTTCCCAGGAATCCCACTGGCACCCCCACGGCACTGGGATGATATTGTGTGTGAGTCCCGCTACTCAGAAATTGAGCCATCTACCGAAGGCGAGGTGAGGACTAGAATCTGCCCTGAGTCCAGAAAGCAGGCCGGGGAGGGCTGTGTGAGGTAGAGAGGGAAAATGATGTACTTAAGGCAAGGTTTCTGTGGACTCCCTCCCTCCCTAGGTCATCTATCGGGTGTTGGACCCAGCCATTCCTATCCCAGATCCCTACAGCTCACGGATTCAGAGTGAGTATATCATCCTTTGCATCTGGCACCATCCCCAGTGTCCCCACTGGGGCCCCAGTGACTATTTTAGGTGCTTGCTAGGGCGGGTGCCAAGCTCAGTTTAGCAGGAGACAGGAGGCCTCTCAAGGTCACCTTGGCAGCTGCAGCCCCTGTGTGGGTATCGACCAGGGCTTGCCTGGTTAACTGAACTCACCCCTCACCCCTCTCCCCTCAGATCTGTTGAAGATCACCAACCTCCGGGTGAACCTGACTCGGCTTCATACACTCGGGGACAATCTACTAGACCCAAGAAGGGAGATCCGAGAGAAATACTATTATGCTCTCTATGAGCTGGTTGTACGTGGCAACTGTTTCTGCTATGGGCATGCTTCACAGTGTGCTCCTGCCCCAGGGGCACCGACCCACGCCGAGGGCATGGTGAGAGGGGTTCAGATGGGTGGGATAGGGATCAGGGCAGGGACAGGCGTGGCTGGGTAGTGCTGACCTCCTGCCCGCTCATTTCCTTAGGTGCACGGGGCCTGCATCTGCAAACATAACACGCGTGGCCTCAACTGTGAGCAATGCCAAGATTTCTATCATGACCTGCCCTGGCGGCCAGCTGAGGATGGCTACAGTCATGCCTGCAGAAGTAAGATTCTGGCTTCCATAGCATCCAACTTTTAGAGCCTGTTAGGTTTTGGGCAGCCCTTAGAGCTATTTGGTTAATCCCTTAACACTTCAGGCTGTGTCCAATGGGTATCCAGGGAGTTGGAGGTGTGACTCACTTGGTAGAGTGCTAGCCAATGAGTGAAAGCATCAGGTACTGAATTTGCATCTCAGCCTCAGACCAAAAAAAGAAAAGGAACAAAGAGGGGCTGGGAAGGTGGCTTAGTGGTAGAGTACTTGCCTACCATGCATGAAGTCCTGGATTCAATTCCCCAGGATCATATAAACAGGAAAAAGCTGAGCCGGGCACTGGTAGCTACTCAGGAGGCTGAGCCAGGCCAGGCCCCCAGACTGGCAGGGAAAAAAAGTCACACACAAATTCTGGTCAGTGGGAAGACTCTAAAGCAACACTAGGCCTCCCCATACCCCTTATCCTCAAGACCTGGTCTGTCCCTCAAATGCCCTCTGCTTACCCCATAGAATGTGAGTGCCATGGGCACAGCCATAGCTGTCACTTCGACATGGCCATGTACCTGGCATCTGGCAATGTAAGTGGAGGAGTGTGTGATGAATGTCAACATCACACGGCTGGGCACCATTGTGAAGTCTGCCGGCCCTTCTTCTACCGGGACCCAACCAAGGACCTACGGGATCCAGCTGTGTGCCGCCGTAAGGCTGGGGCTTGGGGGTTGTTAAGGAGGGCAGAACAGAAATTGGGAAGTCACGGTGCTATTCAGGTTGCCCAGAACTGATGTGGGAGTTTGGGAACTAGCTTGGGAATGGTGGAACTGGGAATGGAGAAGACTGATGCGGATTAGAGTGACTTTATGCCTCTTATTTGTTTTTCCCCTGTGTCTTTTAGCCTGTGATTGTGACCCTATGGGTTCCCAAGATGGTGGTCGCTGCGATTCCCATGACGATCCCGCCCTAGGACTGGTGTCAGGCCAATGTCGCTGCAAAGAACACGTGATGGGTACTCGTTGCCAGCAGTGCCGTGATGGCTTCTTCGGGCTCAGTGCCAGTGACCCTCAAGGCTGCCAGTGTATGTGCCTCTTGGGCTGATCTTTAACCCCTGACCTTTTCACTACTGTTAACTACACCTGAATCTGAACATTGCCTTAGTGTTCAAGGGTCTTTTTTTTTCATGCAGGTTGTCAATGTAATGCACGGGGCACGGTGTCTGGGACTACCCCTTGTGACCCCCATAGTGGAACCTGTTTCTGCAAACGTCTAGTGACTGGACATGGCTGTGACCACTGCCTGGTGTGACTGGAGGGAACTGGGGTCTAGGATCCTGGAAATGTTCTCTGATCTGAACCCATGGGGTTTTTTTTTCGGGGGGCGGGGAGGGGCGGTGGAGCAATGCCCATATTCCAATGTGAAGGGGTGCTGAAAATTTAAAAGCCCAGCCTTGGCTGATTAACAAGGGTTGAAGACCAGTGGTTTGGGAGACAGAAGCAGGGAATATGGTTGGATTCCCCGTTGGGAAGAAGAGGGGGCGGGACCAGGGGTGGGGGTGGGGAGGTCTATTTCTGACCCTTAGCAATCCCTTTCCTCTAGCCTGGCCACTGGGGCTTGAGCCATGATCTGCTGGGCTGCCGCCCTTGTGACTGCGATGTGGGTGGTGCCTTGGATCCTCAGTAAGTACTCTATAGGGGTGCTGGGGAGCCAGGCAGGGGACAGAAGAAGGGGTTCTTCTTGAGTAATCACAGTATCCTTCAGATGTGATGAAGCCACCGGTCAGTGCCGCTGCCGCCAGCACATGATTGGGCGACGTTGTGAACAAGTACAGCCTGGGTACTTCCGGCCCTTTCTGGACCACTTAACTTGGGAGGCTGAAGATGCCCGAGGGCAGGTAAATGTGCCCGAGAGAAGGGATAGCTGAGAGGCTGGATGATGGGTGAACTATACAGAGGGCCTGGAGTGAACTATACAGCTTTGGGTGAGATCTTGCAGGAGAACTGGGCTGGTTATAGCAGAAGAGATGGTGTTTTACCTGAACCTCCATCCCTGGTCGCATGATCTTCCCAGGGGCTTGATGTGGTGGAGCGCCTGATGACCAGCCAGGGGACTCCATCTTGGACTGGCCCAGGTTTTGTGCGGCTGCGGGAAGGTCAGGTGTTAGAGTTCCTGGTGACCTCTTTGCCGAAGGCCATGGACTATGACATTCTGCTACGCTTGGAGCCTCAGGTCAGACCCTAGGAATTGTGACCTGGAGCTAAATCTCTGGCTGTGGAAGCAGCTCCTGGTTCATCTTCTCTTCTCAGGTCCCTGAGCAATGGGCAGAGATTGAGTTGATGGTGCAGCGGCCAGGGCCTGTGTCTGCCCATAGCCCATGTGGGCATGTGCTGCCTAAGGATGATCGTATCCAAGGGACTCTGCAACCAAACACCAGGTAAAGGCACTGATGGTTGTCATGATGAAGGGTCGTGGGGCCTAGTCTAGCCAGGCACCTGTAAGATCCCACTGCTTATGAATCTATTCTTTCCTTCAAGTACCTCTTCCTGGATCAGGATCCTAGCTCAAGTTGTACAGCATTAGCCCTGGCTTAGATCCTTAGTACTTGGGGCGGTGCAGGGGACAAGGAGAGGGAGGAAGCCAGATACTGATGGCTCACACCTGCCATCCTAGCTACACAGGAGACTGAGATCTGAGGCTCCCAGTTCAAAACCAGCCCTGGCAGGAAATCCTGTAGAGACTCTTTATCTCCAGTTAACCACTAAAAAGCCAGAAGTAGAGAGTTGTGGCTAAATGGGTTAAACACAAGCTTGGAGCATAAAAGCTCAGGAACCATACCCAGTTCCTGAGTTCAAGCCCTAGGACTGACAAAAACAAACAAAAACCTCCTTGGTAAGCCTTTTTTGTTAAGCTGTGTTCAATATGGTTTATGGTCACAGGAAGGAAGGAAGCAAAACAAAGCCTGCTCTCTCAGGGGTCTAAGGTTAAGAGGCCAAAGCAGGAATTAATGGAAAGCAGACATTGTCACTACAGGAAACAGGGTGGGGGAGGGAGGTGTGGGATGGTAACATCAGAAGATTCTGAACAGGGATTTGACTGGTTAGGTTAATCTTTTGAACACAAGGGACAAGAGAACACTTTAGAGGATCTATAGTGGAGCTGACCCCCCCCCCCCACCCACCAAATGGCTGTAGCCTAGCAAGCACAAGGTATTGATATTGAACCCTAATGTTTTCAAAAAAGAAAGAAAGAACTGGGCACTGGTGGCTTACACCTGGAATCCAAGCTACTCAGGAGGCTGAGATCTGAGGCTCACAGTTCAAAGCCTGGCTGACTCTTATCTCCAGTGAACCACCAGAAAACCAAAAGTGGCCCTGTGGATCCAAGTGGTAGAGTGCTAGCCTTGAGTGAAAGAGCTCAGGAACAGAGTGCCCAGACCCTGAGCTTAAGCCCCACAGCTGCCAAAAGTAGAAGCGAAAAAGAGACAGAGACAGAGAGACAGAGACTAAAAAAAGAAAAAAAGGAAAAGAAAGGAAAGGAAAGGAAAAGAAAAATGAAAGAACTGAAAGTTCTCATGTCAGTCTGTATGCTTCTAGTGATACTGGTCTTCACAGGGCGTATGATTCCAGAAACGCATTATGCTAATATTCTGAGACAGATTCTCTATAAGATACCCAGCAGCTTCTCTGTTGGCCTAGTGCCACTCCGCCCAGCCTGAATCAAGCAATAGTCTCTGCCTTGGCTAATTGGTTGCTCTGAGTGGGGTATAATAGACCCAGGATGATGGGCATAGGAACTCTGTATAACACCCACCTGCCCCTTACCCCCCACCCCATGCCAGGTACATGATGCTTCCCAGACCTGTCTGCCTTGAGCCTGGCATCTCCTATAAGCTGCATCTAAAGCTGGTGCGAACAGGAGGAAGTACCCAGCCTGCGATCTACTCTGGACCTGACCTGCTTGTTGATTCGGTGAACAATACCCTCCAGTCAAACATGGCAGAGACTAGGATCCTGGCAGGAAGGGGTCAATGGAAAAGGGGGCATGCCAGGCGCTGGTGGCTCATGTTTGTCATCCTAGCTACCTCAGGAAGCTGAGATCTGAGGATCATAGCTCAAAACCAGCTTGGGCAGGAAAGTCTAGGAGACTCTTAACTCCAATGAGATACCAGAAAACCAGAAGTGAGGATGTGGCTAAAGTGGTAGAACACTAGCCTTGAGTGAAAGAGCTTAGGGAGCTGGGCACTAGTGGCTCACGCCTATGATCCTAGCTACTCCGGAGACAGAGATCTGAGGATTGCAGTTCAAAGCCAGCCCAGGCAGGAAAGTCTGTGAGACTCTTATCCCCTATAAATCACTCAGAAAACAGGAAGTGGAGCTGTGGCTCAAGTGGTAGAGTGCTAGCCTTGAGCTGAAGAGCTGAGGAACAGTGCCCAGGCCCAGAGTTCAAGCCCCACGATCGACAAAAAGAAAAAAAGAAAAATGTAAAAAAAAGAAAGAGGGCTGGGAATGTGGCTTTTAGTGGCAGAGTGTTTGCCTAGCATGCAGGAAAGCCCTGGCTTCAATTCCACAGTACCATATACACAGAAGAAGCCAGAAGTGGTGCTGTGGCTCTAGTGTAGAGTGCTAGCCTTGAGCAAAAGAAGCTCAAGGACAGTGCCCAGGCCCTGAGTTCAAGCTCTAGGACTGGCAAAAAAAAAAAGAAGAAGAAGAAGTAAAGAAAGAGAAAAGGAAGGAAGGCAGGCAGGCAGGCAGGCAGGCAGGCAGGCGCATGATAGGACCAAGACCAAGTACTCTGGCAGTATCGATGTAGTTCCCTCTTTGAGCTGTACTGTTCCTTGTTCATCCATCTAGTTGGTGCTACTGCCCCGTGTCCTGGTGCTAGAGATGTTTAGTGCAGGGGATGCTGTTGCGCTAGAGCGCCGTGCCACCTTTGAACACTATCGCTGCCATGAGGAAGGTCTGCTGCCCAGCAAGAATCCGCCCTCGGAGGCCTGTGGCCCTCTTCTCATCAGCCTGTCCACTCTCATCTACAATGGCGCATTGCGTGAGTACTTCTGATGTGAATTGGCTGGGCAGAGAGGTGGAGGCTCAGGCTGATTTGGTTTCCTTTCATTCCTACAGCGTGTCAGTGTGACCCTCAAGGCTCACTGAGTTCTGAGTGCAACCCTCATGGTGGCCAATGCCTGTGTAAACCTGGAGTGGTTGGGCGCCGCTGTGATCTCTGTGCCACTGGCTACTATGGCTTTGGTCCTACAGGATGTCAAGGTATTTGCTTCTTCCTGACTTCTTCTGGCCCCTTCCTTCCTTCCTTCCTTCCTTCCTTCCTTCCTTCCTTCCTTCCTTCCTTCCTTCCTTCCTTTCTCTCTCTCTCTCTTTTCTTTCATTGGTCATGGGGCTTGAACTCTGGGCCTGGGCGCTGTCCCTGAGCTCTTCAGCCCAAGGCAAGCGCTCTACCACTTGAGCCACAGCGCCACTTCCGGTTTTCTGGTGGTTCATTGGAGATAAGAGTCTCACAGACTTTCCTGCCCTGGCTGGCTTTGAACCACGATTCTCAGATCTCAGCCTCCTAAATAGCTAGGATGACAGGCGTGAGCCACTGGCACTTGGCTCTAAACTTCTTCTTCTACCCCTAGCCTGTCAGTGCAGCCCTGAGGGGGCACTCAGTGGTTTATGTGAAGGAACTAGTGGACAGTGTCCCTGCCGAACGGGTGCCTTTGGACTTCGTTGTGATCGCTGCCAACGTGGCCAGTGGGGATTTCCTAGTTGCCGGCCCTGTGTCTGCAATGGGCATGCGGACGAATGCGATTCTCACACGGGCGCTTGCCTGAGCTGTCGTGATCACACCGGGGGTGAACACTGTGAAAGGTGAGCTTAGAGCAGCTTTGAGTGGGTTGATGGTTGGGCAGGCTGTCCCGGGATGCTTAGAACTCTTCCCTTTCTTCCCCTATAGGTGCCTTGCTGGTTTCCATGGAGACCCACGGCTGCCGTATGGCAATCAGTGTCGACCCTGTCCTTGTCCTGAAGGCCCTGGGAGCCAAAGACACTTTGCCACATCTTGTCACCGGGATGGGTACTCTCAGCAGATCGTGTGCCATTGCCGGGCAGGCTACACGGGTGAGTGGTTTGTGGGGAGTTGGGGGGCAGGGAGGCAGGCACTGAGATCAAGCTGAGCTGGCTGAGGTGAATACTTATGGCTTTCTCTTGATCACGGGCAGGGCCACGGTGTGAAACTTGCGCCCCTGGGCACTTTGGGGACCCCTCAAAGCCAGGTGGTAGGTGCCAACTGTGTGAATGCAGTGGGAATATTGATCCCAAGGACCCTGAGGCCTGTGACCCCCGCACGGGGCAATGCTTACGTTGCTTATACCACACGGAAGGCCCTGGCTGTGCTATCTGCAAGCCTGGCTTCCATGGGCAAGCTGCTCAACAGAGCTGCCATCGTAAGTATGGATACAGGACGGGATGGCTGGGGGGGGGGGGGAACTCCACCGACTGGGCTCTTGACTATCGTCCTCATCTTTGTTGGCATAGGTTGCACCTGCAATCTGCTGGGCACAAGTTCCCAGCACTGCCCATCGGTTGACCAGTGCCACTGTGATCCAAACAGCGGGCAGTGCCCGTGTCTCCCCAATGTCCAGGGCCTTAGCTGCGACCGCTGTGCCCCCAACTTTTGGAATCTCACCAGTGGCCGTGGCTGCCAACCTTGTGCTTGCCACCCAACCCGGGCTAGAGGCCCCAGCTGTAATGAGGTATGGAATCCTGTAGATCTCTGGATAGATGGTTGGCTCGCTGTCTGCTTCATTTTGAGAACTCAGTCTGAACCTTGGTTCTGTTCTCACTCTAGTTCACAGGGCAGTGCCACTGTCGTGCTGGCTTTGGTGGACGGACTTGTTCTGAGTGCCAAGAGCTCCACTGGGGAGACCCTGGCTTGCAGTGCCGCGGTGAGGCAGCTGGGGAGACCGGGGTGCATGGAGGGGATTTGTTAGGAGGTCCCCAAGAGGCCCAAACTCTACTGTGTATGTCCTTTCCTGCAGCTTGTGATTGTGACCCTCGTGGGATAGACACTCCTCAGTGCCACCGAGCCACAGGCCACTGTAGCTGCCGCCCCGGTGTGTCTGGTGTGCGCTGTGATCAGTGTGCCCGAGGATTCTCCGGTGTCTTTCCTGCCTGCCACCCTTGCCATACGTGCTTTGGGGATTGGGACCGTGTGGTGCAAGACTTGTCTGCTCGTACCCGGCGCTTGGAGCAATGGGCCCAGGAGTTGCAGCAGACGGGTGTGCTTGGTGCCTTTGAGAGCAACTTTCTGAAACTGCAAGAGAAGCTGGGCATGGTGCAGACCATCGTGGGTGCCCGCAACACCTCAGCTGCTTCCACGACGAAGCTGGTGGAGGCCACAGAGGAGCTGCGGTATGGAGGGGCCAGAAGAAACCTGATGGGATGGGGAACGGGCCCAATGGATGGAGGCTGCAGTCTCTCTAAACCTGCTCTTTCCTACTGATACAGGCGTGAAATCGGAAAGGCCACGGAGCACCTGACTCAGCTAGAGGCAGGACTGACAGACATACAGGATGAGAACTTCAATGCTAACCACGCACTCAGTGGCCTGGAGCGAGATGGGCTTGCACTAAATCTCACACTGAAGCAGCTTGATCAGCATCTGGACCTGCTCAAGCATTCAAATTTCCTTGGTAAGTGGTTGGCTACATAGGCAGGCAGATGGGCCCATGTTGATCTTCGGCTGACCATAGACCTCTGCCCCAACGTTTAGGTGCCTTTGATAGCATCCGCCATGCCCACAGCCAGTCGGCAGAAGCAGAACGTCGTGCCAATACCTCTGCCCTGGCGGTACCCAGTCCTGTGAGCAACTCAGCAGATCTCCGGCGTCGCACTGAAAGGCTGATGGAAACTCAGAGGAAAGACTTTAATCGCAAACATCTGGCGAACCAGCAGGCACTGGGCAAGCTTTCAACCCATACTCAAGGCCTGAGTCTGACAGGCATAAATGAATTGGTGAGATACAAGAGTGGGGTGGGATGGGGAGATGTTGGATGGTATTCTCACAGAGCTCTGACTTGTTCTGGGCCTGGCAGGTGTGTGGGGCCCCAGGGGATGCTCCGTGTGCTTCCAGCCCTTGTGGTGGTGCTGGCTGTCGGGATGAAGATGGGCAGCCCCGCTGTGGAGGCCTTGGCTGTAGTGGAGCAGCAGCCACAGCAGATCTAGCCCTAAGCCGGGCCCGGCATACACAAGCAGAGCTACAGCGAGCATTGGTAGACGGTGGTGGCATCCTCAGCCAAGTGGCTGAGACTCGTCGGCAGGCAGGCGAGGCCCAGCAGCGGGCCCAGGCAGCCTTGGACAAGGCTAATGCTACCAGAGGACAAGTAGAGCAGGCCAATCAGCAGCTTCGAGAACTCATCCAGAGTGTGAAGGACTTCCTCAGCCGTGAGCCTCTCACGTGGCCCCGGGGCCACGTGATTATTTCTCCTGTGTCTGTGTGTCTCTCCATCTCAGGACCTTCAGTGGGACTTGTTTATGGTCCTGCGGCTGAGCCCTGAGTCCTTGCTCCTATGTGACTCCTATAACTTGTGTCTCTCACTTTGTGTCCCTTGTTATAATTTCCATCCCTATAGTGTATCCATATACCTATTAACAAACGCCTATCCCATGTCCTCCACCCCTCATGATGATTGTCCCCATACTCATGCTGGAGAATCTATCCTTAAGTTCTTTAACCTGTGTCCCCAATAGAGGAGGGGGCTGATCCTGATAGCATTGAGATGGTGGCCACCCGGGTGCTGGAGCTGTCCATCCCAGCCTCACCTGAGCAGATCCAGAACCTGGCGAGTGCAATTGCAGAGCGAGTCCGAAGCTTGGCAGATGTGGACACCATCCTAGCACGGACGATGGGAGATGTGCGTCGGGCTGAGCAGCTACTTCAGGATGCACAGCGGGCACGGTATGAACCCAATCCAACCCTCACCCCTATCCTTGACAGCTGCCTGATCCTGATCTACAGGCTCTGATTCTCTCTTTTCTTCAGGAGCCGGGCTGAGAGTGAGAAACAGAAGGCAGAGATGGTACAGGTGGCACTGGAAGAGGCCCAGCGGGCACAGGGTGCTGCACAGGGGGCTATCCGAGCAGCAATGGTTGACACACAGGACACAGAGCAGACCCTGAACCAGGTGTGGTCTCTGTAGGACATCAATGGGACAAGGTTATGGGCATGCCCCATAGATCTGTTTAACCCTGGACTCATCCATGGCAGGTACAAGAGAAGATGGCTGGTGCTGAGCAGGCCCTTGGCTCTGCAGGTGAGCGGGCCCGGCAATTGGATGCTCTTTTGGAGGCTCTGAAACTGAAACGGGCAGCAAATAGCCTGGCAGCCTCTACTGCTGAAGAAACAGCAGATAGTGCCCAGAGCCGTGCCCGTGAGGCTGAGCAGGTAAGCTTGAGAGACAGCTGAAGGAGGTCATCATGGATGAGTCTCTGCTGGGCTAGCATACTGACCCTGATCTCCACTTGCATAGCTATTGCAGGGAACAGTTGGCGACCAATACCAAACGGTAAGAACCCTGGCTGAACGCAAGGCCCAGGGTGTGCTGGCTGCGCAGAAGAGGGCAGAACGTCTGCGGGATGAGGCTCGCAACCTGTTACAGGAGGCTCAAGACAAGCTACAGAAGCTACAGGGTGAGAGGACTGTTTGGAGCAGAAGCCAGGAGGGGTGGGGATTATGGGAGAAGGACACCCCCGAAACTGATACTTGGCTCCTCCTAGAACTGGAGGGTGCCTATGAAGAAAACGAACGCGCACTGGAGGGGAAAGCAGCTCAGCTGGATGGTCTGGAAACCAAGATGCGCAGCGTGCTTCAAGCCATCAACCTGCAGGTGCAGATCTACAACACCTGCCAGTAACCCCTGCTCCAGGGCCTTCCCCCAAAGTCCCCAGCACTGCTGCGCACGCGCGTTGCCTACCCACATAGGAATGAGCCTGGCAGGGCTGGCAATAAACCAGTGTGAACCTCCACTATGTTGTCGGTCTTCTTTAATTTGGAACGTGTGCGTGTGTGTGTGTGAGATGAATGTCTCCGCTTCCAGACCCGGCCGGCCATCCTTGCCACCCACAGTACTAATAGCTCCAGCTAAAAGGCTCCAGCACCGGAAGTGCTCTTCTTCAGGGCTTGGGCCCGCCCAGGAGCTGTCCATCAACGCCAGCCCGCTCCCACCGGAAGTGCGTCACCAGCCTAGCGCTCGGCCTCCCCTCCGCCGTAACTAGAAGTGGAAACAAAACAAGCGGCTGTGGCAGCGGCGGTGGCGGCGGCGGCGGCGGCGGCGGCGGCGGCGGCGGCGGCGGTGCCGGGACGGGTGGGGGGGAGGGGCGCGCCGGAACCGGAACCGACCTGACGCCGGAACCGGAATCGTGAGCGGGGTTGCCAGGGCCCGGAGAGGGCTGGCGGCGGCGGTCTCGCTCGGTGAGTGCGGCAGGCCGCAGTTCGCCGGTTCGGCCTCCGCGGGCAGGCCGCCGGGGGTGTGCTGGCTCCAGGGCGGCCTGTTTCAAGGTCACGGGCGGTACCAACCCCGACCCTTCCAAGTACCGCGTCGGGCCGGGCCTCACGGATGCCGAACGGAGCCGTTATTGCTCCCTCCGCCCGTGGCCGGCCTTCCTCAAGAGAGGACTGGGGCGGCGTGCGAGCTGGGGGGGGCGGCTTCCCGGAGGAGGTGGTGGCTGGGCCCCGGGGGGGTCGCCGGCCGGAGCTGTGCTCGGTCCGGGGTAACTGCGCAGCCTCTCTTCTGGCCAGCTCCAGTTTCTAATCACCCCCCTCCCCCCCCCCCCAATGCTTCGACGTCCCTGGAGCAGATGAAGGGGGCCGGAGGGGAGGGAGGAGGGGAGGAGGAACATGACCTGTGACTTGGGGGGGGGGGTCTGGATGTGTGAGGACAAGGCGGATGTGCTTCTCCCCGCCCCCCCCCCCCCCCCGCCTCAATTCTGAACTGGCAACCCCCCCCCCCATCCCCACCAGTATACCACCTCTGACCCACAGAAGGATATCTTATCTCCCTTCTAGAAGGAGAAACAAAACCAGCCCCTAAGGCGACTCCCTCCCGTCTCTCTCTTCCCGGACCCCCCCCCCCCCCCATGAGAACCTGTAAGACTAGTCATTATCCGATTTAGCTGTACAAACCAGACTTGAGGCCAAAGGGTCCCCTACCTAGATAGATCCAGGGGTTCGTCTCTCACCCTTATCGTCAAGCTTTTGTTATGACAACTTTCATTTTTGGATGGAGAAACAGCTGTGACTCCACTAGCCCAGGCCCCATGGAAACCCAAGAAGGTTCTCTGTAGCTCAGAGCTGGTCAGGGATTTGTTGTTCCAGTCTCAAGCTGAATGCCCACCATCCTATTTTGACAGTGCCCCTCCTGTATCTTGGAACAGAGAGAGAAGGATCCCGAGAGGTAGTTGGTACATAGGAACATGTTGGTGTAATTGTAGCCTTATGGGACCAGCTCCAGTAGGAGCTGGCAAGGAAGCAGATGGATATCTTAGATCCAGGACCTTTTCCGGACAGTTACAACACCTGAGTTAGGCCTTGGTTTTTGGCCACAGAGCCTGGTTCTTGCTGTTTGATGGTCTCTACCTTTGCTGCCTTTCTCCTCCTCCTTCCACTTGTCTGGTGGTGAGTAAGCAGCCAGTGAGAGTGAAAGAAAAGGGAGCTCCCTGCTCAGCGCGTCAGCCCTGTGGGCTGGAGCTATGGCTTCTATCCAGAGGAGGATCCTGGTCCCAGGCCATGACTGATTTGACCTGGCACCTTCTCAAGGAGGCTTCCAGCATTGTGGCAGGTTTCTAGGAGGCTTGGCCTGAAGTGATTAATGCTACTTGCAGTACTTAGTCCCTCTGTAGAATAGCCTGATTAGGTGACTGTAGTACTAGCTACTGAGGATGAGCTCTGCAAATCAAGGTTCAAAGCCAGCCCAAATCAGTCACGTTTGAAATAAGAGACTTTTTTTTTTTTTTTTTTCTAGTATGGGGCTTGAACTTAGGGCTTGGGTGCTGTCCCTTAGTATTTTTTCACTGAAGTTTGACACTAATTTGAGGCACAGCTCCACTTCTAGCTTTGGGGTGGTTAATCAGAGGAAAGAGGCTAATAGGTTTTCCTGCCTGGAAATCCTTCAATCTGGCTAGGATCATATGAGCCACACCAGTGCCTGGCCTGAGAGACTTATCTTCAAGGAGCCAGCAAAAAGCTGGAAATGGAAGTGTGGCTCAAGTGGCAGATCACCAGCCTTAAGCAAAAAAGCTAAGTAAGAGCTTGAAGCTGTGTGTTTAAGCCCCAGTACTGGCACAATAAAAGAGTAACCTAACTTTCTGGGGCTTAGGTACTACCCTGCAGGGTTAGGAATGTTCTGGATTGCTAAGCCCTAACTGTAGTTAAGGAGCAAGTTGTTGGGCCTTGACAGTGATTACTGGTTATTTTTCATTAGGCTGTTGGTTCCTTGCTAAAGAATTTGGCCACAAAGAATTGCCAAGATAGCTGGGTCAGGAAGAAAGCGCCGCAGCCCTGACCCAGACACTGTTGCCGACTCTGGGGCACTCTGGCTGTCAACCAAGCGGCTCAAGATGTCTGGCGGGGCCAGTGCCACAGGCTCAAGGAGAGGGCCACCAGGACTAGAGGAGGCCACGAGTAAGAAGAAGCAGAAGGATCGAGCAAACCAGGAGAGCAAGGAAGGAGATCCTCGGAGAGGTGCGGGTGATATTCCCAGGATACTCATGCCCTTTTCTCCTTTCCGTGTGCATGCAAATAGAGGATTTGAAGATGATTATTTCATTGTCCCTTTTGTCTTGGTTTGCGATTGAGAAGGAGACATGACAGCCTGGATAGCGTCTCAGCTTTGAGCCTGGGGTACTTGGCTGAAATACTGAGATGATGGTATTTTTGGAATGGTGGTGTTTTGGGAGACTGCTCCCCCCCTTCCCCCTCCTCATCGCCTCCTCATGCTTTGCTTTGTTGTCAGGATCAATGCCCACTCCTCGAGAGGAGCAGACCAAAGAGGGTGAGTAATAGATGGGGAAGGGAAGGAGCAGTAGAGGGCAGTAGGGCTGGGTTTCTTGGACATATCCCTACCGACCCTTCTGATCCCTTTGCCATTCCTTTGCAGAGTTGTTGCTTGACTGGAGGCAGAGTGCAGATGAGGTGATTGTTAAGCTCCGAGTGGGAGCAAGTCCTGTGAGGCTAGAGGAGGTAGATGCAGCTTTCACTGACACCGACTGTGTGGTGAAGCTCCCAGGTGCGTCCATATGTCCTGAGCCCAGCAGAACCTTTTAATTCTTTGATAACCGCCACTGAAGCTCACTGCTTCCACTCTCTCTCCCAGATGGTCGTCAGTGGGGTGGTGTTTTCTTTGCCGAAATAGAAAGTTCTTGCGCCAAAGTGCAAGCCCGCAAGGGTGGCTTTCTACAGCTAGCACTACCCAAAAAGGTTCCTCTTCTCACGTGGCCCTCTCTCCTGGTAAGTTTGAAGTGCAGGGTCGGGCGGTGTGATACCCTACCAGGGCCCTAGGCAGTCCCCAACTGTTGTTGTCTTTGGCAGAAGAAGCCTCGAGGGACCCAGGAGCTGGCACTGGGGTTGCGGTGTCAGGAGAATGGGCAGGAATTGTCTCCCATTGCCCTGGAGCCAGGCCTTGAGCCCCGCCGGGCTAAGCAAGAGGCCCGCAATCAGAAGCGGGCTCAGGGCCGTGGTGAGGTAGGCTCAGGGGCTGGCCCTGGGGCCCAAGCAGGGCCTAGCGCCAAGAGGGCTGTGCATCTCCGCAGAGGGCCGGAGGGAGAAGGGTCCAGGGATGGCCCTGGACCCCGGGGTGATGCCCCATCCTTCCTGGCTGACCCAGCCACTCAGGTGAGAGTCAGTTGCCTGTTGGGGGTATTAGGATGTAGAGGGGAGGGACATGGACTAAAGTTGGGGCCCCCTGGCCTACACAATACTGATTATGCCCACAATTTCACCACGACTAGGTTGAGGCTGAGGAACAGCTCCGTGTACCACCACTGAATCCCCAACCTTGTCTTCTTGGCTCAGAGAAGAATTTAGCCCTTTTGGCAGGCGAGAAAGCAGTGTCTCCCAGGAATGACCCAGTCTCTCCAGCCATGGCCCGGAGTAGAGACCCTGGGAAAGCTGACCATATCAAAGAGGAGATGGCAGTAGCAGCGGATGCTGCAACCTTGGTGGATGGTAAAAGTGGGGTTGGGCGTGGCCTGGCAGAGCTTAGGTTGGGTTACAGGGTTGGTGGGTAAGTAGGAAGTAGTAGAGCGGCCAATCAGAGCCTGTCATGGGAGGTACTAAGCCATGTCTCAATGCAGACCCTGAGTCCATGGTGAACCTGGCATTTGTCAAGAATGACTCCTATGAGAAAGGGCCAGATTCTGTGGTGGTGCATGTGTACGTGAAAGAGATCCGCAGGGATACTTCTCGAGTCCTTTTCCGTGAACAGGACTTCACACTCATCTTCCAGACCAGGTGGGTGGAGAGGGGCTGAAGGGGAGATGGTATGCCTCCAGTGGAATTGCATATGTGACATTCTTCTTTTTGTCCTTCCTCCTTCCCTGCTCTGCTTCTGCAGGGATGGGAACTTCCTGAAGCTGCATCAGGGCTGCGGGCCCCATACCATCTTCCGTTGGCAGGTGAAGCTCAGGTGGGTGGTGCCCAGCCCCATCATGGTGCCTGTCCCAGCTGGGGCTTCAGCTCTTCTCTCTGGGTCTGTGTCGCTTGACACCTGTTCCCCCTAAGTCTCTGACCTCAGCCTTTACCCACAGGAACCTGATTGAGCCCGAGCAATGCACTTTCTGCTACACGGCGTCTCGCATTGACATCTGCCTCCGGAAGCGGCAGAGTCAGCGTTGGGGGGGCCTGGAGGCCCCAGCTGCACGAGGTCTGCATACGAGCTCCCTTCATTGCCCGACCCTGCATGTTCAGGAGCCCCAGCCCTGCCACATGCTGCTAACCACCAGCCCCCTCATTCCCCCTTTTTAAGGTGCAG